TATTGAATAAAAATTATAAATAATTTTCAACAAAATAACTATAAAAATTAAATTTATTAATAAGACTATTTTTTAATGCTTTTTAATTTTTCTTGCAGTAGTTCTATTTTTAATTGTTGTTCTCTTTTTTCTTCTTGTAGGAGTTCAATTCTATAGTCATGCTCTCTCTTTCTTCTTAAATCTTCTTCCTTCATAAAATTCATTTTAGCTCTATGTTCTTCTTTTAAAAAATGCATTCGAGCTTTGTGATATTCTAGTGCATATTTATCAACAATTTTAAAATTACTGCAACGATTAATATTGGGTTCATTCGTTGTTGGATCGTCAGAAAATTCTGATGGATTCACTAAACATAAATCCTGTACGAGTACCTGAAAATATGTATGATATATAAATGAACATTATTTTAAAAGTAATATAGCTCGAAAAATTAATTTTTGTTTGGCTAATTAGTTTTTAGTATCAAAACATTATTATTAAAATACTTTGTTTACATAATTTATATTAACATCAAATTATAATTGTTGATAAAAGTTTTATTACTTTTATGCTAATTTTACAGTACTCTATATACAAAGGATCACTAAAATACAATCCTAAAAACAAAGGGAAATATGTATAAGGGGATTAATTAACTATTTAACACTTACATTTGATGCATTNTATTAACATCAAATTATAATTGTTGATAAAAGTTTTATTACTTTTATGCTAATTTTACAGTACTCTATATACAAAGGATCACTAAAATACAATCCTAAAAACAAAGGGAAATATGTATAAGGGGATTAATTAACTATTTAACACTTACATTTGATGCATTCAAGGTTTCATTATTTGATTCTCCTGATTGCTGTTGCAGTAATGCAGGAAATTCGGCCACAACATTATCTGAAAATAAATACCAATGCTTATAACTTTATTTAATAAACTGTCATTTATTATTATTAACTGCTTTATTACTGTTTAGTTTTGATCGAGTATAATTAGATAAACAAATTTACCTTCGACAGGGACATTAAAATCAGCATCGCTGTCAACAGGATTTGAGAGAGGCGTGAATTGCTCGGGGATTAAGGAGAAAATTTGTTGCGTAATTGGTGGCATTGGACACTCGATATCGGCACATATTCCTCCTCCAGTACTCATCCGTGCTCGCTTATTTGATGCCACATCTTTTCTTGCTTTTTGTTTTAAATTTTTCCACAAAACTTTCAAGTTTTTTGTGTCCCGTTTACTAACCTCTGGAAACTTATTAAACTCTTCGGTTAGAATTTGCCACGTTTCATTTTTTTTCTTCAAGGATATGGCATTCGTTTCCTTTGATTTGATTATATCTTTGTATTTTTCGATTAACTCCATTAAATACTCTGTTTCTCAATAAAAAAAATCGGGTTGTCAACTTCATTTCTTGTTGTCTGCCATGTTTGTATCTAAGCACATATTACATCTTTTCGAAATATCCAATCAAGTAACGTGTAAGAAAATTTTCTAGTAACGCTGGTGTCGAGATTATCAGATTCACTAATATCTCGGGATTCACTAATATCTTAATATCTCGGGATTTACTAATCCTTCGCTAAAATTTGTTGGTGAAATCCTCACATCAGTAATCTCGGTATTAGCCTAATCGCTGGATTTACAAATACCACGATTAGGCAATGTTGGTGAAATACCCTGCTAGAGGGCAAAACTTCCAGCCTTTATATCTTCAACGGCATGCCCTTCAGGTAAAAACAGAAACCTTCTTCATGGATGGGAGATAAAGGGCTACCATACCATATAACTCCCTTGATTGTACCGGGACCCATTTTTGAGTTTTAGCGGCACGCACATTGTACACTTACCTTTATAATATATATTGATATTGATTAACGATTACAAAACAACATAAAATTTTACAGGTCTAGTCATAAAACCTGATAATCACTTTTTGAGTCTAGTCATCTGCATCAATAGGACATTAGAGTTTAGATAGAGTTAGATAGCCTAATAAATAGGATTTAACAATTTGGTGCTTATCACACCAAGGCCGACAGAAAAAAAGACCAAATCTTTTACAAAAAAGTTAGTCTTTAATAATCGCCTTCAAATTTAGGTAAGGATGCATTTCACATACAAGGACCCCTCATCAGCTTACAAACACATTGCACCAACATATAATTATACTTACAACAATTAACAATGAACTTACTATTATTAAAATTAAACCAATTATTTTAATAATACTAAGTTCATTGTTAGTTCCCCTCTCTTTTGGTTTTTAATATATTTAACAATATTTTATTATTAATAGTGGAACCATCTACCAGAATTCAGAAAATGTGAGAGAAAATAAGACATTTACTGGTCCCAAATAATGTGATATATCACATTATTATATAAATAAATTTTATGCTCGATAGTTTTACTTCTTTAGTATATGGGTTGTATGTATTAAAAATTGTAAATACAGTGCACTGTATATATCAAAAATTCCTTTGTATTGGTTAACTATTAGTGTTATAATTATATGTTGGTGCTATGTGTTTGTAAGCTGATGAGGGTTCGTTCATTCATTCATTATTTATTGTACATAAACGATACAGACTGGCCCCATATATTAGCATTAACGGTTATACACAACACAACATATATTAATAATACACAAGATAATATGTGTTACACTTATATACGATGCATTTCGGGTCCTTGTACCCGAAATGCATCCTTACCTAAATTTGAAGGCGATTATTAAAGACTAACTTTTTCGTAAAAGTTCTGGTCTTTTTTTCTGTCGGCCTTGGTGCGATAAGCCCCAAATTGTTAAATCCCATTTATTTGGCTATCTAACTCTATCTAAATTAAAGTCGTGGGCTAAAAGTGTTGTTTATTATTAGAATATTAGAGTTTGGAAAGCGCTAACAAGACTTTTTGAAGGAGAATATCTCGTCGATAGATTACCAAAAATTTATATAAAATGTTAAAAACATTATCGAGACTATCTAAATTGTGTCTCGTTTTACACACCGGGAAGTAATCTAAAACACACCGAGGTTCAACCTCGTTCTTTCTTCGGAGGCTACAAGCTCGGTACATTACGTACAATAATAAATATAAACGAGGTCGAACCTCGGCATCTTTTAGATTACTTCCCGGTTCGAAAAACAAGCAAAGACACCATTCGGATAGTCTACATTTGTGTTTTTAAAAAACTTTATCATCCCTGTTTTTAAAACGTAATTATGTATTCGAATCCAATTAACAAGTATTTCTTTTTATTTTAAGTAACATATCAAATAAAACTAAAAAGTTAATTGTAATTTTCTGAGTAGAACATTCGGCTGTATTGTCATTATTTAAAGAAATAATAAATGCTGGCTAAAGTATTGTTAGTCTGTATACAAAACTCATATTTCATAGACAGACTAATATGTAATTAAACTAGAAGAATCAGATATAAATCCTAGACGTAATATATATTTTCTTCCTAAACATATTTGAATTAGTGTGTAAATGCACATAGTATTTACAGAATGCTAGGAAATTACATTTCCGAATAATTTTATAGTGGATACGGGGAATTTCTCGAACTAACTACAAAAACAAGATTACCTTTACAGGGTAATTTCCCAAAGAACGCAGACCCTTTCTTACCAAAACACGCCCAGTAAGGCATCTTTTACGCATCCCATCTTAACCCGCAAGAAATTGCCAAAAACCTAGGATAGACAGTTAGTCGAGACTAAGTAGAGGATTTGCCTTATTGCAGAGGCTAAACAAATTTTTGAAGATAACGAATTCGTTAGCACAGAGTTTTTTTGGATACCAGTTTCTAAGTTTATGTTAAAGTAAAAAATTCAATATGAAAACCTTTTGAAGTGAACAATGGAGTACCACAGGGATCCATTTTGGGCCCTCTACTTTTTAATATTTATATAAATGATATTGTAGAGATTATTCCCGAGAATATTATTATTTTGTATGCGGATGATATTGTTATAACATACGCAAATAGAAATCTTCAATTGGTTGAAAATAATATAAATTCTTTGCTGGCTAAATTAAGTAAATATATGGAAAATAATAACTTAAGTGTAAATGAAAATAAAACAAAATATATTTGTTTATCAAATAAAAACAAAAAAGTTAATTTAGAAGATATACAAGTAAGAATAAATAATGAACGTATGCATAGAGTTAATACAGTAAAATATTTAGGTATCGAAATTGACGATAAATTACGACGGAATAATCACATAAATAATTTAACACCGTCTTTATCTAGATTTATTGGAATACCAAAAAGAAGAACGAGTTTTTAAAATTTTGAGACTGTTCTGCGTTTATATCAAGCTTGTATGGAACCCAAACTTCGATACGGTATTTCAGTACGAGGTACAGCTTCTTCTTTTGTATCGAATAGGTTGCAAGTCGTGCTAAATAACTTTATAAGAGCATTATATAAGTTACCTAATGATTCTTTCGTCACTTCTTTTTATAACCAAAACAAAATTGATAAAATAAAAGCTTTATATAAAAAAACAAGTTCTTCTAGAAAGTTATAAGCTAATAAAGGTTGGCAAAAAAGAATCTTATATAAGTGATGAGTTAAGAAAATATCTTAGGCCTTCTGACTACAACTATCGATGGAAAAATAAACCGATTCTACCAAAAGTTAAGCACCGTTTTGGACGAGACACACCAATCTATCAATTTATATATAACTGGAAGGCTTTAAAAGAAGAATACAAAGATTTGAGTACTTACGGGCAATTTAAATGGGCCGAAAAATTTTGAGCAATGACTAGTTGTGTGTATTTTTATTCTGTTATTTTTGTTTTTTTCCTCTGTTCTTTTTATTGTTTTGTTGATTGTACATTTTATATACGTGTGTTTCTTTAGTTTTTTTTTTGACCCTTGAAAAAGAACACTGGTCATAGGGTCGTTTGAAAATAAAAAAGAATAAATAAGATGGAAAGTGAAAAACTTGGAGAGTCGAAAATGAAAAAGTTACTTACCCACCACGCACGAGACGTAACCGTAAACGGGAGCGTTGCCGTCAAAAAAATGCTTCCGAGACTTGGAGCCGTGGTCGCCGAAGGGACGATTCAACTCTCGGAATTCGCCGCCGGTCCAGATCAAAAGACGGGGCGCTCCCGCCACCTCTCTCCTCCTCCTCCATTCCCGCCGTCCGTCGGCGGAAGAATCTTCCTCCTCGGTCTCCTCCGACCCGGAAATCCATCCGCCCGACACCAGAGGAAGGACGTTGCGGCGAGGAGGACTGTCGGCGGCCAGGACCGCCTTTCGCCAGATCTCTCGGCGGTCGTCGGGACGAGAACTCTTTCCTCCGGCGGCCTCTTCCACCAAAAGCAGGAAATCTCGGGCTCGGGAGTCGTCCCGGATCGACCGACGACTTCGAATGTCGGCCATTTCGTCCGGGCTGAGACTCTTGAATCGAAGCAGCGACAGAAGATGGACCAAATGGTCGCTGCCATTGCGTCGGGTCCAGAGAATTATCGTTTGGAACGCTTCCGTTTCGTCGGCGCAGTTGAGGCGGTCGTCCGACAACAATTGCGACAAGAGGGGAAGAGGAAGACGGGACAACTCGTTTTCTTTGTCGACCAAAGAGAATTGACCGAGAAGGAAGGATCGGACGCGGCGGAGGAGGTCGTTCAGGCTCAAATAATCCGCCAAAATCAGTAGAGAGACGCAATTGGAAGCGTCCAGGTTGTTGGACAGGAATTCGCAGCACTTTCCCCTGACCTCTTCGAACTGCAAGAGGTCGGAGGTGCGGGTCAGGGAAACCACGTTGTCAGCGTCCACTTCCGCCTTTCTTTCGTAGACCAAGTCGATTAAGATGCGGAAGACGTCGGGTTCCACGTCGCGAATCACTATCTCCTCGGCCCGACGCTCCATCATGTCCGATGCAAACATGGCGCGGAAGTAGGGAGAAGCCTTCTCTAAAACGCTTCGATGACAAGGAAATCTCTCTCCTCCCACCCACAGCACCACGTCCGCTTCCTCCATCTTTTTGTTTTCTTCCGTCTCCGAGTTAACATGTATACGCGGATATCGCGCTCGGATCGGAAGTACTCGCCAGGTGGCTCACCGTCGATCTTGTCCGACAACGTTGCCAGCCCCAGAACGAAAATATGACAGTTTTTTTTTTATTCGGCAAAAAATGACGTCGTAAGCGGCCGGCATCGCCCGTCGCCGAAGCCGGACGAACGTTGTTACTTGTTTGCTAATTTCTGTTTTAGAAAGCAATGTCTTATTTAAAGAATTAGAACATAATAGAAACGAGCAATTATTTATTGTCCTATCGTCGCAATTCCGGATTGCAATTTTTAATCTATTTAATTTAAAATATACGCTCTCCACCTCAAATCGGTTCTGTAGCGTTTCCCCCGTGCATCATACTTTTCCGTTAGCAATGGAGTGGCGCCGATCGTCTATCTGACTCCTTTCGGGGGAAAACTTTGAATCGAAATATAGTTAATCGGAGACTCCTGCCCCAGATATTTCCACGTCTGGTTTAACTTCCACGTATCTAACTCCCTTCTCGAGGTCGAGGAAGGACAGACGACGGACGGACAACTGGAAATTTATAGGTGTACAATTTTTTCAAATTGCAGCCCAAAAAAGGATATACTGTGTGAAAGTTTAATGATCGGCATCGCTGTATCACGCTTTTTTATGTTCATATTTTAAAATTTGCCTATTTATACAGTTACTCGCTGACGTTGTGGTTTTTTTCCTACTTTTGAATGTAAATAGTTATTTTTATCGAACATTCAACTTTATTTTGGTGTAAAAACGTGGCAAATGTCACTTTAGCTATTTTAGAATTCTTTTAAGCCTCGAGGAAAGCCTAACGTAAAAGCTAAAAACTTAAACGCTCATTAGCGGACTAATTAGCTCGGCCTCGCTCGGGCAAAAATGCGCGTTGCTGTGTCCGAGGGGACACGAGTTTGTTCACCCTCTTTGAAATTAATAACTCCCGTGTTTTTTGTCGAAAAATTCTGAAGTTTTGCCGACAGGTTTGTATATTACGGGAATCGACGCTATTAAATTCTAATGGATACGGGTGGACGGGGTGGTGAGATAAAGAGGGTCGTGGGTCGTATCTCGAGTAGGGTCTGGCTTAATGACGATTTTACTGGTTATTAGCATTTACAATTTTTTGCGAAACCCGTCCCTAAAATAATAAAATATCGTAACGGGTGGCGCCACACGGGGCGGTTTTAAATGTGGTCGGGAAAGTTAAGCGACTGGTTGGATTCTTTTTTTGGTCGTTTCGTCCACGTTCTCGTGTGGCGAAACATTTTTTGTATTAAGAACGTCAACGAGACCGTTCGCGCCGAGTTTATTCCTTTGCTTCGTTTTAGATTGCGGATAAAGGCGATTGGCAGTCGCACTACCGCGTGTTAAAATTAATACGTGACGTATGAGCCTCGTTAGTACAGAGGAAAGAGAAGCTAGTTTTAGTAAAGTTACGGAAACATACGGTCTAATTGAATTCCTATTTGTATTTATGCTAGTGTTTCGAGGAAAACGTCTTATCTGTCGAGATTATTGTATTCATTTTTCAAATTGACGTCTATGACCGAATTTCTTTTCTATTTTATTGTCCGGCGTTACAATAAGTGCTTTTTCAAAGGAGCCTTAAATCGATGTAATCGAGTGTTTATTGATCGACGATTAAGCGTTGGGGAATTGGACTACGACGCGCAAAAAAAAATTTTTCGCGATTCATTTGGAACATTTGGCGAAATACGCGAATTTACGCAGAATACAGACGAAAAATTTTACAAATCAAAGAAAACTTTTTAATAACTCTAAGACAAGCTATCGTCGGGGTTTCGATGATATTTCGAATTTTTATCTTTGTTTTGTCTTTGTTTCATGTATTTTCGTACTTCGCTTACTTTAAAGTATTTAACAATACGCCTTTAAACCCATTTTAAAAATATCTAATACAAATATACTTTATTACACTCTAGTGGAATATTATGACGATGGAAGGGTTATCACGCGGGCGAAACAATTAATGCCTTTATATCTCCTAAAATACATGGGCGTGATAACCTTTTCATCTTCAGGATATTCTACCCAAGTGTAATAAAGTATATTTGTATTAATATTTTAAAGTAATTTTTGTCACGTTTCGTTTTTAAACGATAATTTTTGTTCCTATATTTATGTAGATATTATTGATATTTTTGTAAAGATTCTCTATTAGTACAATGTTGTAGATATTTTTGTTTATAATAAAATTATAATAATTTATTGATGCTCGACTTTTCGTTTTTGTCAGAAGAAAGAGCGATTCCTTCGTTAAAATTTCCTTAGCTCTCCACCGGGGAGATAAAGGGGTGGCGTGTATCTCCAGTAGGATCGGATTTAATGACGATTTTACCGGTTATTAGCATTTACAAACTTTTTATAAAACCCGTCCCTACCCCGAAAATTAAGATTTCCGCATTTTATAGTAAATTAAAAATATAAAAAGTTCTTTTTAATAAAATATCGTAACAGATGGCGCCACCAAACGTTGCCGGAAAGCTTAGAAACCCTTCGCTGTATATTTTTTTCGAGACGGGAGAACGACGACGTCGCTCGAACTGGTTTCGCCACCAGCGGCAGGAAGTGTGGTGGATTTAGCGTTACTACTTCCGGATGGCCGATTCGTTCTTAATTGTCAAGGACGTCGTAAACGGCACTTACAACCCGTAACTTTCAATACGTACAGTAAGTCCTACGGTACGTGACGGAATCGAGGTCCGGACACGAACGTTCGTTTCGGTTCTTTAGTTCCGCGGCGTAGCTTTCATTTTCTGTATTGGCAGTAAACAAGGCCAGCCACGTAATTCCTTATATAATTCTAAATATTAATAGAGTATTTTTTTCATTCGGAGGTTGTTCCGATGTTTATTTCAAAGCTTTAACTAAATATTTATTCATTTTAATAGAGTCGTCGTAGTCGTTAGACCTTCTCGCAGTGTCTACGTACCGAACAAACGATAAAAAATAATAATAGCGCGATAACGATTTAATTAAAACTGCGGAAGAGGCAAATTCTCCATATTGTCCCGATAACTGGCTCGTATGTGGTCCGAACTATTTGTAGTTTATCGATTGCCCAATTAGACGCGGTTCCTCGTACGACTTTATCTTCGCATCCGTACCATAGTTTTCAAAATAAAACACCCGGACACGGCCCGTATAATACACTATAAGGATAAACTTATTTAGTTACGAGTGCGGAATCAGAGAAGAAATTAGGAGATTGACGATTTAAGTTATTTTATTTATATTTTCCATCGTAAAAGTTTTTACGGTGACGCTTAAGGGACATTATTTTATATTTAGTTCTTTCATTCCTACCGAAAAACGCGGCTTCGCGTACATCGAATTACGGTCGACCGTCGTCAAATTTCGACCAAGTTTTATAATAAAAGTATTAAAGAAATTTATTATTTCGACATTGTTTAGAGTTTCGGATGGACGTTGCCGCAAATAACGAGAGAAAGGATTTCCGCTAATCAAACGACACCGACAAATATTGGATTGGCTCCCGAAAACCTAATAAATATAAAGGTGTAATTTTGCCCATTTTCTTTTTTTCGTTGGTTTATAAAAGTCGTTTACCGAGAGAAGGCGGTCCGAAGGCGGTCTCCGTCGGTAAGAAGCGCCCGCCTCGGGTCACACCTCGGAACCAATTGGAGAATTTATATTTTTCTTCCGGTTATTTTTCCGAAGATCAGCAGAGCCACCACGGCGAATCCCGAACCCAAGACGAAGAAGAAGACGCCCAGTCCCGCCGTCAATCCTGAAAGACCAAAAATACGATTTTACTCCCCGCCTTTGGTTTCGGCATTCCGTTTACGCCGAATTTTACCCGAAGAATAGCTCCTTTCGCCTCTTCGTCCGGCTTTCCTTCCTTCTGGGGAACTTTCTGGAAGATAAAAATAAACAAATAGGATATTTCCGCGGGAAAAGGGAAGGAAAGAGAGGGATGCGGCACTCACCCGCCGGCAGATAAGTGTCGCAGGAGGAATTAGAGACGGTGGCGGGCGAGACGTCGTTCTCGGTCCTCAGTCCGCACCGGGCTTTTCCCCGCCCCCCGGCGCGACAGAAGTGGAAAGAGCCGCAGGGGAATTCCACCCCTTCCGCGCAGAGTCGAGCGCATCCTTCCGCCGTCACGCCCGTCACCGCCAAATGGGCGGGATCTACCGGAATCCTGTTCTTTAGCTTGCGGAAGTCGCGGACGTGGTTTCCTGAAAGGGAAAGAGTTAGTTACAGTACTTTCGTAGGATCGGAACCCCGTCCTACGAAAGTACTGTACTGTACTTACTGGAATAATGGCCGCACAGGCCGGTGGGGTCCAGCGCCAACTTCTCGTTCCGGGGATCCGGATGGCGGCCGGCGTGCAGCAGGCACCGATCGGACGGGTGTTCCGAATAAGGACAGAAGTCGAAGGAACGACAGTCCACCTCGTCGTCCCGCAAACAGGCTTTGGCGCACAATTCCTGTTTGTCTATCGGCAGCCTTTTGGCCGCGGTGGTGGCTTTGGTCAGGCCGTCGTGTCTGACGAACGAGTCCATGTAATTGCCTTGGACGGAAAATATAAAATTATTATTCTAGCGTAAGACTGTCCGCGTGATAAGCGGGGATTTTCGGCCGTAACGAAACTACGCGTTCTCCAACGGAACGGCTACACGTACAGTACAGTTATCGATGTATCGATCCTTCGGTTGACAAAAAGTGTACAGCTATTGCGCGTTTGAATTTTTTCAAAAAGTCCACGATACACGAGGTAAGCGATTTCTGATCTGGAATTGGACTCGGCCAGAGAGTTTCTGTCAGTAAAAGTCTCGCCTTTCGAAATTAAAAACAAATCGAGACTTAAAGTCTAGAGTAAACAATAAAAGTTCTTTATGCCAAAATGTAAAAGAAAAGGCTGGAATTATAGGGGAGAATTTGAAAGGTCGGGAATTTTAGCCCACCGGGATCGGGTTAATTAAGTGTCGATGACGACCTCTCCCGAAACGTTTTGAATTGTTACAGGGAGACGACGAAAGGACCAATCGGGAATGCGGGATAGAAAAGTGTTCAAAAACGCTTGTTTCGAGGACACGACCTTCTCTCCTCCAAGATCCGTTCTTCGGTTCAATATTTGTTCTTTTCTCCGACATCTTTCGTATTTTGGCCGGTCCGGGATCTACCGGAATACGCTAGATCCGAGTTTCCCGTGTCGCGCCATCGAACGTCCAGCAGCGGCGGAACACGGCCTTCGACACTACGTACCAGTTCGCATCCGAACTTATCAGCGCGACCCCAGGCCGTTCATCCTGCGGAAGATCATCAACGAAGGACCGAGTGTAGACATTCGACGTGACTTTTACTGGATTCTCTTGTTAAAAAGAAAATATCAAAGGAGAGTTGATACGACAAGACTATAGAAAATTTTGTAAGAATATTTTTATGTTTTATTAAATGGAAAAAGTGAATGATAGACCCGTCTCGGTGTGTAAATCGCGCCCACGCACGATCGTCTCGACCCCTCGACCGTCCCGACCATCGCGCACAGTCGACTAATCTCCCGCGCGCGACTCTAGCCAGCCTTCTCCACGGATTCTCGACGGGGCTTAGATCGGAACTGCCAGGCGACCGATCCGAAACCTTCACTCCATCGCATTGCGTATCGAGACTTTGTCCAGTTGGCAGATCCATCTCGGGCCTCTCCGACATTTCTCCATAGTCGTTTGCATTCATTCTGCTTTGTATGAAATGCCGCATTAGACTTTCCGTTCCATCCGAACGATCGTACAACTGTCACCTCGTTGATGTTTCGAATATATCGCTTCTTCCCGTCTTATTTCGTGCCACTAACAATGCCATCGTCCGAGTCATCCAAATTAAACTTTTTCCGTTTAACATTTTGAATAAAATCCGTTTGTTTCTATGCAATTTTATCCTTATAAGCCGTAAAACTGAATTAGCTGTATGGGCAAACCCCTGTAAACTTTGACCATCACATCACCAGCGTCTGGAGTCCCGGTTGAAGGAGAAGAGGAAAATACGACTTTTGCACTTTTCAATTACTTATATTTCGGCAACCGCTTTACAGAAAATCTTCAATTTTGCGCATTACCTAAGAAACCAATTTTCTTTCCAACGAGATATGCGGAATTACTCGAGGTGTTTGGAGGGCTGAGAAATCGACCTCCGAAAATTGGCAACGCTGATTTCTCTATATAAAGTCAGTCAGTGACTTTTTGACTTGGCGGGGACTCCCGGGGCCGTATTCTGGTCGCTGTCTCTGGTCTCTCGCAAGCCGGTCGCCGATTGGCTAATCATTTAGATTAGCCAATCGGCGACCGGCTTGCGAGAGACCAGAGACCAGAGACAGCGACCAGAATATGGCTCCTTGTGTGCGTGTGGGAGGGCACGATTTCGTTCACCCTTTTTGAAGCTTAATAATTCCTGCGCTTTTTGCCGAAAATTTCTAAAATTTTGCAGGGAAATTCGCGTATAAGGGGATCGATGCTATTAAATTTTGGCGGTAAAAGTCGAGAGAGTGGGAAGATAGAGGCGGTCGTGTGTATCTCCAGTAGGATCGAACTTAATGACGATTTTACTGATTATTACCATTTATAATTCTTTTATAGAACGCATTCCTATCTTCAAAATTAAGTTTTTTACCATTCTGTAATAAGTAAAAATATAAAGAATTTTTAATAATGAAATATCATAACAGATGATGCCACACACGCAGTATTAAACGTTGCCGGAAAAGTTAAGTAACTCGTTGCTGTTTTTTTTTGTGTCGTGTGTTCTTGTTCGATGTCGAGAAGGACAAGTGAAAAAGAATCATCGGCAACGATGTACTTTATCTCGATCATAAAATAAGGAAGTATTAATAAAAGAAACGAGCGATTCTTTATTGCCACACGATCGCAATGCCGGGCTGAAATTTGAAATCGTATTTTCAATTTATTTCATTTATATATACGCTCTTCGCCTCAAATTAGTAGTGGCTCGCCCCCGTACGGTACATGCATCAAACTTTTCTTTTTACAATAGAGTGGCGCCAATCATCTATTAACTGCTTTCGGGGGAGACTTTTGAATTAAAATAACGTGACTGCATCGGATCCTTTACCGGATTGTATCGGAAGTTCATATATATTTAATCGGGGCCTCCGCTCTCCGATTTCATCTATCTAATTCCGTTCTCCCGATGAAGGAAAGACGAACGGACAAATGGACGACAGCGGTAATTTATAGGTGTACAATTTTTTCCAATAAGTAAAATACGGAACGGAATAATATACGGCGGAAAGTCGATTATTGAAACGATTTTCATTAAAAAAAAAAAACATAAAGCGTTGTACAGTACATTATATAGTACGGAGTACGGAGTACGATACACAGAGACCACTGTCCACGTAATCGCTCGGACACGTACCGATCGTATCCTGGCGAAACTGGGTCATATATACGTAATACGGCCATAGATTTCGAGTAAATTAATTTACCTTTAAATACGATATTTACGTTACGGTATTTATTGTTGGCGGAAACTTAAATGCGCGGTGCCGGATGAACCCGGAAGACGAAAACAAAGGCGTTTCCGGATTATTCGAAAGACTCTTTCGAGTTTAAATACAACTGACGCAGAGAAAAACGCGGAGAGGAACTTACGGGTCAAGACCAGGCAGTCGTTTTTCTTCACCAATTCCCGGTCGGGAACCTCCACCGCGTGTTTGGTGCTAGTCAGACACTCGGCCATTCCGGCGCAGGAAGACAACGACTGACAGTAGGGATCGGCCAGACAGGTTTTCTGACAGGTGAGGTAGGGCAGACTGCCCAGATTACGGACGTGGTCGGCTCCCTTTTTCAATTTATATCCGTATTTGTACTCGGTGTAGTGACTGTCGAAGTCGGCTGAAAAACAGAAAGGGCTAATGAGCGAAGTACGCTTCGGTCCGCCGTCGGCCGTCTCCTTTCTTACCGATTTTGGTGTATCGGGCGTCCGGATCCCGGGCGTGGCTGTCGAATGCGGAGACGGACAACTCCACGTCCTGAAAAAAACCAAGGGAATCGTGACCCAAAGACGTCGAGAAGGGCGCGAGAAAGACAGAAAAGAAACGTCACTCTGTAATTTCCCGCCACGTCTTTGACCGAGAAAGATATCTTCAGGTCGCCGCTCTCGAGGGCCAAGTTCAACTTTTGCAGGGCGGAGTCGGTGGTGATAAGGGGTTCGTAACCTGCAAGGAATCCGGCGTCAACCTTCGTCTCTACGGCACGTGGCACGCTTCTTTCTACTCACCCGTTTTCCGGCGATATATCAGACATCCGGGAGAGTCCCGTTTGGTCCAGGAGCTCTTCGTCTTCAGGTAACAGGTTTTTCCGCAATAGGAGAAGGCGCTAAACGAGAAAACGGTCGAATACCACCATCGATCGGGCGCGCGCGACCGCGGGGACGTAACTTACTAGCACATTCCGGGATACTCCAGGCAGAACTTGGCGCACAGGTGCTTGGACACCATGCCCACGGAATCTTCTGGATCCGCCAGGAAGCCTTCCGAATCGTAAGAGAAATCCCCTGGACCGACGGACGAAGAAAGTCAAAAGACGGAACAACGAAGAACGACGGAGATTTCATCCGGTATACTTACACAAATAATCGGGTCTATCCAGAAGCGAGACGTCGGCCAGCAAACCGGAAACCTCAAAGTCCACCTGTGGAAAAATCGCCGGTTGAACAAAGTGGGTTCCTCCGCCATTTCCAGGACGAGAGGATATTCTAAACCCGGCCATCTTCCGAAACTCGGGAGGACGACAGAAGCGGAGTCTCTTCCCCGAAAGACGGAAAATCTCCCGATCGGAACTCCTCTCCGTCTCTTCCGACCGACGAAGGAGGATGCTTTTGCATCCGTATTCGTCCCGGAATCAAAGTGTAAAATTAACCGATTAAGCTTTCGCCTACCAAACCGAAGGCAAATAGAACTGTTCCGCGGGTAAAAGTATAATGGGGGAATTTTGGGAATGCAACTCACCAGCACTCGGGAGATTCGGGTCCAGGCCAGACCGGTGGCGTCCCTGACCATGTCGGCCACTCGCCGACGGACGACGGGAAGGTAGGGTTCGGCGTCCCTCATCAATTCTTCTTGTCCGCGGACTGCGGGGAGAAAGAGGTAGAGACGAGACGAAGAAAGGAGGCGCCCGACAGACGCCGCCCACCTTCGAAGAAGAAAGAGATCCAGCGACGGTGGCGGCTGCGGGGGTAGCACGAGTCCACGTCGAAGGCCGAGAGTTTGTCGTCGATTTCGGTCAAGAATTGGTAGAAGTTGATGGTCAAGCCGGAAGAAACCTGCCCGAGACCGGGTCGGAGGTCAGAGGCCGGCGGGAGTGAGAAATTAAAAGAGAAGGAGACTTACTTTTCGGGCGGAGTCCAAATTCACTAGGGAGATGGCCACCGGCGTCTCTTCTTTCCGGAGTTCGTTCTTAAAAAATTAAGAAAGGGGAGGGTGGATGGAAGAGCCATCTTTCTTCCGCTCCCTCGAAAAATCCCCGCGGCGCCAAAATACGGACGTTTCCGCTTCCGTTTTCGGCGGAGGAGAAGACGGAAACGGACGAACGGCTGGGGGAAAAAAGAAGAGGAAGGGAGGAGAAAGATAATACTTACGCGATGGAAGTATCTGGTGGAGATGCTGACCAAGTTTTCGTTCAGTTTCTGAGTCAACTCGTAGACGTCCACCCAAACGTCTCTTCTTCTCTTCTGAAAACAAACGACAATTTCTTTCCGGCGGTCGATCGATCATTTTTAATTGTACAAAGTACAGACCGACCCCGCCGTTTACGCGTTACCGGTTATACACATTCGGTTTACGACACACGGGAGAAATGAATTACACTGGCGTAAATGTAATTCATTTTTCCCGTGTATCGTAAACCGAATGTGTATAACCGGTAACGCGTAAACGACGACTCGGCAACGCCATCTCGGGACGCGGGAAGGATAAAGGTTTTATCTTCTCCCGTCTCGTCCCTACGAAACTGTTCGTTCTCGGGGCGCGCCAGTCGTCTACCGGAAGTTGGGAAGCCACTTACCCGTCCCAGGTATTGAAATTTTTCCATCTGGTCCAAAAACAGTTCGTTTCCTATGCCAAGTAGGATTCCGTCGGGAAGATCGATGGTCGGCTCCATCTCCTCTCGCCGCGACACTCGGCATTGTCGGGAGTCTTCGTCTATCTCGTACGTCACACCTAGGCGGGAAGAAAGCGCAGTTAAACCCGAAAAATTCGCACCGAGACACGTAGAGGCCGGCGGCCGAGGAAAATGGCCAGTCGTCACTTTATCGTCCTTCCGGCGATACCCAGGGCGATCGAGCGAAAGCCTGTATCCGACGTTTTCTATTTGTTTGTTTTTATCGGACGTCGAGACCCGTCGACCTTTTTCGGATACAAACGAAGTTACCGTAATGCCGGGAACACTTTGCATGGCTTTACAAATAAGTTTTATCCACTTCCGGCTGGTAAAATACGAATTATTTTGTTCCGCGGAGGACGTATTATAGAGCATTTCGGAATGGAATCGGGCGTCTGACATCCCGTTTCAGAGGTCCCGCCACCACACCTGGCTGTACCTGCGTAAGCGTACCAGCAAGTCCCTCAGTTCTTAACCACACCAAAGTATCTACTAGACCCACGCAGCATACACATAAGGTCACCCCTAAATATTTATTGGCATAGTATGGTGGTGCCAAAACGGGCGTCTGACAATTAGGGACGTCCCGATGCCGGTAAATAGTTTTTAAAGTATCGATACCGGCCGGCGTGGACGCGGGGTATCGAAACCGAAAATCTCGCCGTTCGGTCCGTGGCGTGGCCTGCCGCACGTTTTTTTGCCGAGAAGGCGCACCTATCCTTCTTTTTGCCGCGGCGGATACGTAAGAAGCTACGGTACGCGCATCCCGTAGAAAATGCTCGATTAAAACGACAAATTGGACGGAAAAAGTAACCGGCGGAAGAACGAGAAGAGTTTTACCATTTCGGGTGTCGTAGACGATCCGACGATAGGCGTCCACTCGTCTCTTTCCGTCCCGGAAGGGCCGGGTCCAATTGCCGTAGCGAAAGGCCACGTACTCCGAATCGCCGTCGTAGACGAACTGAAAAATGCGCCCTGGTCAAATTTCGGAATGGGCGAAGATGGGGGGGAGGAGATACTCACGTCGACGTAACTGACGTAGGAGTAGTTTCCGCTTTCGGGAGTGTACAGAATTTCGGCGGAATAAGACAGATCGGTGCCGACGAAGGTCCGACCAATGGGCAGATCTTGGGCCAACCTGAGGCACCCTTTGCCGTCCGGGACCTGAAATAAAGAATTTCGGAGGGATGGGAGGAAAAGTGTCCCCGGGTCCGGGAGAAATTTCCTCCTCTTACCGCCGGACGGTCGGGCTCCGGCGTACCGGGTCGGAAGAGAACGAAGTCGTGCGTCTGGAAGACTTCCGAGTCGGAGAGATTTCTTCCTTGGAACACCGCTCTCAGGGGCAGGGCAATTGGAGTCGATTCTCCGAATTCGTTCTTCCACGTGTCCTCTGCCAAGACCAAAGAAAAGCTGTGTACCCTTTGCCGCGCCCTTTCTTTCGGGAAGAACCGTAATTACCGGCGAAGTAATACTCGGCGTTGATTCGTCCGTCCTCCACGCATTCTTGCCAAAGCTCGGCCGGGATTCCTCTCACCGACTCGGCCGATTTTCCCATATACACCTGCCGACAAGGAAAATAGTTATTCGCCTTCCAGCGGCCTTCTTTTACCGAACTTTTATACGAAGAGATATTTTGCAATTTTCTTTCAATATAGGATAATTTCGTGGCCGGTATTTTATTTAAATTGCTATAAATATTTTCCAATAGTTCCGTCGTCAAATCTACGCGTTAAAGATTAAACTAAAATGAACGTAGTTCTATTTTTTATTTCAATTACCATCCGTCTTAAAATCCCATGGCGTAAAATAGTCAAAAAATTTGCCGAAATTTCGTACGGAACTTCGGCCCTAGGATAATAATATCGATAATACGCATGGGATAAGTACAAGTTACTTTTAGTTATGTGGCGTGTGGAGACTCCTATACGCCAAGCGGGGGTGGCCAAACTTTTTTAACCCTCGACCCCCCATCGCTTTCCAAAGCCTGGCTTTCACCCCCACCGTAAAGTTATATTACGAGTGTATATGTATGTTGTGGTGTTGTGGGTTGCCAACTGTCTAAGCAAAAAAAAAGGTTGTGACCTCGTAGCCGCATCGACCCCCCAATGATGTTGCGTCGACCCCTGGGGGTCCGTATCGACCACTTTGGCCATCCCTGACGCAAAGTATCTAAACTTAACTTCTACTTTATGTTATCGCTTATACTTAATTCACCAAAATATAAAATATATATCTATATCTATATTCTGTATATATATATATATATATATATATATATAAATGGACGTGTGTGTCCCTATATTTCACTTTTCCGCCAAAACTACACATCGCACGTGAATGGTGTTTGTATGTGGTAGTAGCCCCGAGTCTCCATTCGTGCACTATGTTGATTGCGTCTCGATAGCTATAAGGGTGCGGGAGATATGAGGCTGAAAGTGGTTGAAAGTGGCTTTCTATTTCGAATGTTTTGTTCGAATTTCTTCGAATTTAATTCGAACAATGTTCGAATATTGGTTCGATTATAGAACGATTGTAAACGTTCCAGAAACGTTGAAAATAGTTCGTTTGACTTGACGTGAACAGGAGACGTTCAGAAATAGAATCGGAACCAGATCTGTAATCAGAAACGGGGGATCTAATTCTTGCATTCTGTGAAAACGAGTAAGATTGGCTATAATGTAATTATCTTAATCTTCACTATCGTTACTTTTTAAAAACCCAGCGAAGCGGGTCCTTGCAGCTAGTACTTTATAAATTGCCATTTTAACCTCGATTTTAATACTATAAAACCCGTTCGAAAGTACAGTTTTAAACTTTTATTTATTTTATGTGTTAAAAGTGTGGAAAGTAATAATCCGTTAGAAATAGTATCTCGATCATTTGTAATAAAATAACACGAGAATTACGTATAACGACGATTTTATTTTTTGACAATATCCAGAGAATAATTATGCGTTAAGAAAAAATCTGCGGGTTGCAAATCAAACGGTAGAAACGAGAAAGAAGCCGTTACCATTTTTGCTCTTTCCGGAGACGGGGGCGAAAGAAACTGGCTACAGATTTTAGCGGACAAAATCCTATTGGGCGCATCCGGCATTTCGTAGAAGAGGATATCGGAAAAGATAAATGCGAAATAAAAGAATACCGAAGTCAAATGCCGTAGCCATAATATTTCCTAACTACCAAAATATTTAAGTGAAAATTCCAGCGGAACAAAAAGAAGAGAATATGGAAAGAAATGGAGGAAGAAGAGGCGCCAGAGGAATTTGTCGCAGCTACAACAGTAAGAATGGATTTTAACTAATAAGAGAAATAGAATATCACTACGTTTAATCGACACCCTTAATATAAAACTTCAAAATGACAAATGTAAAAATCATTCTAAAGGAAAATAAATATCCTATCGGTTTAGATTTTTTAATCATTTTATCTCCGTCTTTCCGGTGTCTAATTGCTTTTCGCTTCCGTCAGTGCGTAAGGTATAAAAACTTTACGCGTAATATTCCGTTTACAATACTTCCGCCACCGTAAATCATTTTTTGTATTCATTTCCTGTACCGAGACGTTTTTGTAGTACGTAAACTATACACAGTATGTAAGAAAGTAAGAAGTTTCGACAAAAATATTTTAAAAGTCTACATGGCGGTATTTCTATAATTACATTTGTATCGACGACAGAATTTTAGTAAACAAGTTTCTAAAGTAAACTTTATCGGAAAATAAATCTACTTTCTACGCACGCAAACGGAAGCGAACGGGTTTCCCATCCCGTTTTTTTCCTCGACGGAGGAAAAATTCCGCTCTTCGGAAAACTCGTCCGGAATAAAGGAATCTTGGCTTAACGTACGGTCACGGAGAGTAGAGCCACGATCCCAGGCCATTTTTTACGTTTCGTATTAATTTATTAGCCGGATATTAGCGGCGGGAAAGAGGCGCGGCCCGTAGGCATTCGATATCGGCCACGGTGGCCGAGAGTGGAAAGAATCTCCGCTGGCCCAGGAACTTTCGTCGGAGGATAAGGAAACGAAGGACGGAAAGGAGAAAAGAAAGAGCACTCACCACTTTGCCTTGTCGGTAATCCTCCGAAGCCCGGACTAAGGCGGCCGAGGGACCCAGGACCAAACGGGATCTTCCGCGGTACACCCAGCTTTCGGACGGGTCCGTTTCGGCGGGAAACTGGAATCGGTCCGACGGGGTGGTCCGACAGCCGAAATCTGCCAAAAAATCCGCTTAAGTCTCTCCGGCACCGTTTCCGGTGCCGGAGGCCGCACTTACCTCGGACGGTAAACACTTCGTGGGTCCGGTCGAAGTAGACGAAAGAAGTCTTCTCCCCCTCTCGCTCCACTTCTACTCTTCCGGCGGAATTTTCCGCGTGGTAAAATTCGGTGACCAGCAGCGATCGTTCCTGTTAACGATAGGCGCGGCTTACTACCCCGGAACACCTTATCCCGGAGTCCGGCGGATCCTTCTCCCGCGCGTGGTGGGCCGTCTTTTCCGCCGTCCGATAAAAGAAACGGTCGGAACCTTTGTTTCGGGCCCGGTAGACCGGGAGTGACCCGTCTCTTTTTTCCGGACGTTAAAGACCGGTTCGGGGACCGGAAACGCCCGTGGAAGAGACTGGGCCGCGGCGCCGTTCCCTACCAAACGCCGAATTGTGGTACAATTAAATGCGGAGTGGCACTTTCGTTTTATTGGCCGCCAAGGAGTTTAACCGCCGGGTGGAGACTAGCGGTACCCGGGCGCCGGGACGGGAACCATTACTTCGTACGTCTTTAGATAACGCTGGTTACCAGAAACTTACATCCGGGTTACCGGCCGCGGAACGCGTAACCCGTGGGAATGGAAGTTCCGTCATTTGTCTGGCCAGCCCGGAGAAAACGTAAGAATCCCGTAGTAATTTTTAGCCCCGCCAGATTAACGACGTTTTCACTAACGGAAAATAAAATCTCTTTACACCGCTTTTTAGTATTTACTCGTATTTCGTTGTATACGCGCGCCGACTTCTTTTCGCTTACCAGAGACCTAAACCCAACCGCAGCCATCCCGTAGGGGCGGTATCGGGTGGCCACCGTTATTAAAAAGGGTTGAAATACTTTCTGGAAAATAGCGTTCTCGTAGATATCGTGTTCTTAGGAGACGTTCCCGTCGCCCGGAACGGAAGGAAAGACGAGAAAGAGGAACTCACGGAGTAGTAGTCGTTGACTCGCACCACGGTCCGGAACCCGCCTGGGAACCGCGTCACGTCCGGAAACGTTTTATCTGAAAAGACAGGGGGTATATTCCGTTAGGTACTTTTAATTGATTGTTAATTAATTATTACTCGGAAATAAATTATCGATGGCTTTAATAAACGTATTTCTCTTAGTAACGGAAAAAAATTGTACACTTTTGCCAACTTCCGAAACGTAACCCCTTTTTGCCTTAGTCCTTTATTTTGTATAACGCGGCACTTTTTCCCAACGTAACTACCGCGTTAAACGAGGGATACCTTCCTTTCTAACGGTCACCGCGCCTAATCTAAAAGTATAAAACACCGCGCTACCTCTCGTCTGTGGCCAAGGGGGCCCGTACGTTTGGGCACTGGAGGCACGCGCCCCCCTTTGTAGTCGGATCGCCCTTTTCTTAATCCGCCAGGGAGCTCTAAGGTTTCGTTTTATTTCGAAATTAGTTACCGGTTTTTACGGCGGAAGACTTTTTACCGATGATAAAATAAAAATAAAGATATTTGTTACTAGCGGAGGGGCCCGGCGTTACTGGAGAAAAAAGTAACGATAGCGAAGATTATTAGATTATAGCCGATTTTAGTCGTTTTCGTCGGGTGCAAGAATTAGGTTCACCCTCTTCCCGGACTAGAGAATTTTTAGACGGGTCTAAAAATATCTTCGATTTCTCGCGAAATCGAAGATATTTTTCCCCCGAATTCGAATTTCACCGTACTAAAAATAGTACGGTAAAATAGTAATCTTTAACTCTCTTCCTCTCCCCGCGGGGGGGGGGAATTTCGGAAAATCCCACGTTTGTGTTACGTACAGTACACTAACTGCGTATCAAATTTCAAATTTCGACTCGTAACCGTTTGCGCTCCGCGCTTAATAATATTATTATCATTATTATCGACCCATCTCGATTATATTATAAGATTAACCGAAAATTTGTTGTAGCGGGTGGTGATTGTTAGGTCGAGTACGCGGGTACGGTACAACTGTGTTCGATTAACGCGGCAGCGCCGAGGTATGGAAGACTAGTCGAATAAGGATACGTTTCACTCCGGTAATGGGCGTTACGAATATTAATTAACGCTACCGTCGCCTTTACAAGCGGCTGGGTGGATAAACGTCACATTTTCGAAAAAAAAAACGGGTTCCGTCGTCTATTTTTCTCGTTCTCATTGGCAAAATTGGAGACGCCTGGCCAAACCCAATCGTTTTCCGCCGGCTCTCGACGTCGACGGATACGATGGGAATTGTATTTTTGCTACGGACGACGAATGCCGCGGTGGCTGGCAACTCCTGCCGCAAATCCTGCTGTCCCAGCAGGATTTGCGGAAAACCCGTCAATATACTGTATTGTCCGCGGTAACGACGGTTTGGGAGCGCCTTTCTATCGGGACATTACCGCCTATCGGCTATACATTTCCATTACTTCTTAATCTTTCGGCTAATCTTCCAAACATATTTCGGGAAAAATACTACGGTTCCGGATAAAGAAAAAAGACACTCCTAACGATTCAATCTGTTTCTTCCAAGGCCGACCGTTCCGCTGTCCGACGCGATAAAGAACGAAAACCCGTAAGCGGTTCCGGACCGAGAAACTTTGGGGAGGAAGAGAAATCGGAACTTTAGAAGGAACTGGCCCGTATCCGCGCCGTCGTGGATTTAAGAAAATTTTCCATCCAGTCGCGTGACTCTCCCTACCGTTACGAAATTTTCTTTTTTAAACTCTTTACATTAGTTATTATAAAATGGCGAAAACTTTATTTCGAAGGTAGAGACGAGTTGTATATATTTAAAAAAAACAAAAAAACAAAACATTAAAAGTTAATAACGAGTAAAACTTCGCTAAGTCCGACCCCACTTCCGATAGGACGGGCCATCCCCGTATCTCCCCACCTTTTCGACCTTTAACCGCCAAAATTTAACGGCATCCATCTCCTTATATACAGCTTATAAAATAATTTGCGAAAAATGCGGAGGGTCAAATTTGACACCATTCCGATACTTTCTCGAGTTACGTAAGTTATGCGTGACAGATGGGAAGGTCGCATTTTCCCTTTCCCAATTGTCTTTCCCAACATCTTCCCTTTCCCAACTGTACTTTCGCTACTAACTAACCGAAAGGCGGCCTTTATAGTTTAAAATAAAAATCCTTTTTACTTCCGTATCTCAAAAACCGTCCGTATTCCGGGTCGTCCGAGGCCACCGAAACTCCTCCCCGCCCGTTCTATAAACTCCGTTATCTGGTCTCCGACGATTTCCGAGATTTTTGAGAAAAAATCGCCAGAAAATGGAACTTTACATCCGTGTAGTGTGGCGAAGGACGACGGCATAAATGTCCCGTACTAGGATAAAGTATTCACGTTTATGTTTTAACGGCGGATTTTAAAATCGCCTCGGCAGCTTTTTTCTCATCCGGACCCGACTTTTTTTAGATTAGGCCTAGGGCAACGTTGCCCGTAACCCGCCCGACGGAACGGAACGGAACGAAGGGGACCGGACCTTCCGACGGACGACGACGCTTTATAGGGAAGCGAAGCGTTTCCGTCGCCTTCTCCACCACGTTAGCCAACTCCCATCCGGCCGGGAAGAGGAAAAGGCAACTTCTTTCCGTACCCGTTTCCTTAGGACGAGTCACGTCACCCGCGTCGGGTGTTAGTTAAAAAAACCGAACGGCGCCGATACCGAGAGGCGGCTCCTTTCGTTTTCCGCCATAAGCGTTCGAGGGCCGAGGGACCCGGCCTCCTCTCTCTTAACCTCCCCATTTAGGGCGGAAGGCCCTCCGTTCCTCTTCCGGGATTCGGTACTCACTTGGCAAGTCCAGGGGCCCGGGTCGCAGGCACTGGGCGCGGGAGCGGTGGCTCCGGAGGGCCCAGGCGCACAAGACCAAGAGAATCGTCTGGAAATTCATCTCCGTCCTCTAGAATTTGGCACACTTCCGGGAAAAGCGGCCGAAGGGCTCCCGGGTCGACGGGAAAGTAGAGGGCGTCGGAACGGGGCCGGAGACGCCCCGAGAGAAATCTTATCGTCGTCTTATCTGTCGATCCGATCGGGTCGGGTCCAAACTGCATCTTTCGTTTTCCGTCGTTGGGTCCGTCCCCGGTGGCGGCCGGAAATAAAATATGACGGCCGCTCCTTACAATTTCAACGTAAGATGGCTTTCCGTCGCTCTTTTCCTGGCCTGGATGGGAAAGATTTTTTCCCTTAGCGCCAATATAAGTTTAATTTTAGGGGTTAGGAACGGTCGAGGGCCTACCCGAGTGTTTGTATATTAAATGAACGGTGCGACTTTTTACGTTTAACGGTTCCGCATTTTGTCGAGTTACGTAAATAAAAAATTACCAACTTAAAAGACAAACGCGCGCCTCTTTTACGACTAGATTTGGAACTTAAAGCGGAGTGCCAAATCCGATGGCCGTTACGACAAAAGTGCCGACCGTTATCTACTTACGGTTAAATTATTCGAGTTTCGCGCCCGTCCCACTCCCGATTTATTTTGGCCGATAAGCCGTACCGTACTCTCCGGCCCGCGCCCAACATGGATTTTTCCCCTCTTTAAGCCGCCCCGTCTCGACAAAACGCGATAAGGAGTAAGGAGCGAATTTACGTCTTTTAAAACTATCCAAATTTTGTCTTCGACCTTGGACGGCGCGTGTCACCGTACGTTTTGTCGGCCTTGTCCGCTTCCCCCCTTAAAGGACACGTTACGGAAATCCTTTGAGGATTAACCGTGATTTTTTTTTCTATCCATCCACCTTTAAATAAAAATAATTCTTTATACGTTGGAAAATATTTTAATAAGTTTTGTAAATTACTATGTTCGATCCAGCCAGTTATATCCGATTTTTTTTGTCTGTTAAGTACATCCTTTGAGGATTTCCGTAACGTGTATATAATGCCAATTGTCAATTTCCGAATGTCCCAAGGTGCGACGTAGGGAAATCGACGTCCGAACGACGCGCAACTTACGTATTACGAATACGTTCAAAATGTCGGGATAGAAACCTACCCGCATTTATATATTGTAATATAATTAGATTCTTTACCCGGCGTCGTAATATATATTTACTCGTACTGTACGGTACTTTACGGATTGAAAGAAACAAGTGTTTCATTTTACTTTACTTAATCATCAAAATACAACGTTTTTTTTTCTTTTTTCGTAGACGTTGGAAAAGCGTATTTGTCGGAATAATTGGGGAAGAAAGGAAGAAAACGGCGTCCGTCCGCACGATTCTGGCCGAGTTAATTAGCGATCGGTTAGTCTAGTCCGACACGGGCCTGCCGTCGACGTTTCGTCTACCCGGAACCACTCGCTGACGTTTCGACGCGAGAAATCGATGCGGAATTAATACCGGGCACGCCAACCGTAGAAATGCGGATGCGGAAACTCTCCGGGATTGTCCGACAAAGCCACGTCGTCCCGAATTTCGAGTATAACGGATGGTCGACGGAATAAACGAAACGAAAAGGGATTTTCCGATAGAAATTTCTTGTCCCAGCCGGAAGGTAAGCGAATGTTTATTTAATCTTTATCGAGTAGTTAAAGGAATTATTTATTCTTTGGAATCCACGCCGTTAACGTCTAATACTTAATAGTTTAACAATTAATTCGCGTAGCGTTTAAGACCGTCCGCAAGAATTGGCGTAGAAGATGTCGGTAGTTATCCCCTCGGTGGTGGGAAAATATTCGATACGGTATTGTATCGAAAGGGTATAGAGCGGAGAGAAAAATATTAATTCGTCGCCACCGGTATTACGATACCTCTAGCCGATATCCAGCGCCATAGAGCGATACCAGCCGGTTATTAATCGTTTTTCTTCAAACTCGCGCCATAATTGTCGATATTTTATTACAACATTTCGTCAAAGTTACGCGAAAATAACAGACTTTCTAGGCCGTGGCTGTACGTTCTGTTATTACTTGTTCCGTATTCCTTTGACAACACAGGTCGTCTGTCTAACTCCTTTTGGGAGAAAATTTGGATGGAAAAACGCCACTTCCGATTGGCGGGGGAAGTTCGAACGTAGTTAATCCAGGCTCCCGCCCCGAGGTTTTCGTATGTGGTTTCGTCTTTCGTCTATCTAACTCCCTTCTCGAGATTAAGGAAGGACAGAAATTTATAGGTGTAATTTTTTGAAATTGCGGCCCGGTAAAACGAAACTTTTCCACCTGTACGATTCTAGAGTTAAAATTAGCCAAAAGTTATGGGCATCTGCTTTCTCGGTTGTAAGGCGTGACCGCCGCCACCGAGGTCATTCGCCTGTTTTTCCGAAATCCGAAACGATTTATTTTCGTGGCGGAAAATTGTATTAATTAATAGAATTGTAAGGCGTCGTAGTTCTTAATCGTCGGTATTTTTAAACACGCGGAAGGAATGGTAAAGAAAGGAATTGCCGCCTATCTCGCATTTTTACCAAAATTGAACGTACGCGGCCAACTTACCGCCTTTTCGACGATATTAATCGTTTCGGGAGTGACTCCGAAATGGTGGAAGATGGCCAGACGACTTCCTCGGGAGTGTTCTCCGATACGTCTCCAAAAAGTTCATCGTCGTCTTCCGACCAATTTGTCCGATCTTCGTCGTCCTACGATTCCAGCGACGACGGAATTAACGGACCAACACCAGTGGCCCGCTCGGCACGGAGTCTGGGGGGAGCCGAGTCGAACGAATAAAAAAAACGTTAACGCCAATTCGATAAAATCCCTTACGCCACCGCTAATTCGTTAGAAGTATAGAAATAGAAGACACGGCGCGGTATAAATAAATAAAAAGAAATGAATCGTAACTAGAAAAAGATTTTTGGAATTTTTTCTAGCTTATTTTTCTTTTTATTTGGCATTCCTCGGTTTCCCTCCGGGTTAGCCTCCGTCCAACGGCGGACACCCGGATATTCGTCGGGTCCCGACCCGACGCGTAGGGACGTGGCGGGAAAAGCGCGCGTTTTAAACGACTATTCCGTCTAAAAATGGCAATTTTGAGAATAAAAGTTCGTCTTTGGCCATTACCGTAAAATGTAGTTTAAACGGTATTACTTCCATATAGAATTTTAATAAATCCACAGCTAATTTTTTTTAATTCGACAGGTTTTGTATTAACAATATTTCGACGCTTTATATTTAAGTCTCAAACAATAAATTTTATTAGGACGCGAACTTTACAAATTATGCCATATAAGGCATAATTTGTAAAGTTCGCGTCCTAATAAAATAGAAGCCTTCCGTCGTATAGGTTAACGCTTCGGAGACGTGTTTCGTAGCGCGCGGAATGTCTGGGAGAGAAGAAATTATTAATTGTATCCTAGGGCTATTTGAATTAAAACCTTTAATCCGAGATTAAAGACGTTATATCTCGAGTAAATTATCTCCTAACGTATTTCGCACATTCTCCTTCTCTCTTATACAAACCGAGATAGCGATATTTAAAATACACGGGGATTTACTAACGGCCGTTTACTTTAATCTTACAATAAAAACGCGTTAAATTTTACAACGATTATAAATTAATTTAAAATTCGAAAACTTCTTCGGTAATAACGTCGCGTGTATTTGGAAATTCCTTTTCGGTATAATAGGTATATTCGCTTAACCGTTAGTTTTAATTAAAATACAATTTATTGCCATACACCAGACTGGACGAATTAACGGTTTTAGTAAAATACGACTGGAAATTAAATAATATTTAGCTAAATGTGTGATAAATTTATAAGGTAAAATGAAATGACTAATTTAAAAGCCTTGGTCCGCCCGTTAAATTGTCGTGAGCGCCGCAATTTTCGTCCACTCCGGACGAAATTTGGTGATATTCGTTTTACCTTCCGACGAAGAGCGTTAGATTACTTCTTTGGCGGAAATATTACCTGAACAATCGACATTTTATTGTTGCAGCCACCGGGAAATTTCCCATTTTTAAATATTTTGGCCAACCACGCACTTTTTACCTCATTAAATTAAAAATTTAAACTTTAAAAGAAGACGCTTTCCGTAGTGGCCTTCTATTATTTCCAAAGCCTTTATCGCTCGTCTAATTAATGCCCAATTATTTTCACTTTACATCCAGTCGTAACTGTTCTCGATTTCGAAACGCCTATCTTAGCCTACGAATATATCTCGTCGTAAATACCAACGTATTAGGTAATAATTTCTAATAAATTGTAAAGTAATTTTTAATATTAATAAAAGTGCTTATTTCGAATGTACAGTATTATATTTTTAACTCCGACGTGTTAAAGAAATACAAATACTTAACTTACTGGAAAAAAGTAAAATTTTACTCTATATTAATGAGCCAAGTTGAAGAAAAAGCCAAAATGCGTTGGCAATATAAATACGATACCAGATAGTCTCGTATAAGTAATTTTTCTAGAATATTAACTTTAACTCCGCATTATACCGCTAGATAGACAGACAGACTAGGGGCACTAAGTCGGTCACGCGATTTAACGGTCCGTCTTTCTGGTCGGCCCGGTACCGCGGTATTATCGGTTAGTTTCCCAGTAATCGCGGTGGGTATTGTCGACCGCGAAGAATATCCTACTCGCGCCCGGGCGTAAACGCGCCGCCGGTGTGATCCGGCTGCCGCGCACGGAGACGAGTTCGCGACGTCACTTTTCGTTCCCTCTTAGGTTTTCCACGCGGTTTAGGCCGGTCCGCGCGGGATTCGGTTTACTCCTCGTCCCGGGGCGTAGGAACCGGCGTAGGCGGACGCTTTCCTACGCGCTCCCGTCACGCGGCGGTAACGGCGCCACCACCGATCCGTCTTCCGTCCGTTTGGAAACGGAGCGGGACCTCCGCCCGGCCCCCGAGCCTTCCGGAGGAATTTTGGCGCCGAGCGCGGTCGGGCAGAATTCTGAAGATTTTCGCAGAGGAAAATAGAGACAAGGGGACGAGAGAATTTAACGAGGAAAACTTTAATGATAACAAACAAAGTACGGATACAGAAAAAGACTTAAATTAACAAAAAAGAGGAGACGTTCAGGCGTTCTCTTGCTTGACGAACTTGACGGAGATGCCGTCGCCCGACGATCGGCTTCTGAAGAAGGAGTATAGCAAGAAGGCCACCACGCCCACCACCAGGCCCAGGAACAGCGTGCCGAACACCACTCCCGCCAATCCTCCTGCGGAAGACAATACGTAAGAAAGACGTAGTGGAACCGTCTCAGTTTATTCCCGGACATTCCGAAATTCCGGCGCCGAGTAACCATCCACGGAAGACGGCGGAGGCTACGCGCGCGCCGGGCGTCTTTCCCGCTGCAAAGACGCGCCGCCGCCGGCCACGAGATAGCCTCTAGTCTGCCGGGTGAGGTGGCGACCGGTAGCGCCCGACCGGGTAGGTAGGCCTACGTCGTCGTCCGGCTAGAACTTCACGCCGAAGTCTCGGCTCGGACCTTAACCGTTAAGCCGAAATGGGCCGAAAGGCGGGGTCCGGCGTTTTAAGCCCGAACAAAAGCGAAACGTCGTCGATACTCGCGAAATTTCCATGGGGCCGAGGTTAAAACGAATGGCGTTTAGAAATTTTTCCCAATTGTCCGGACGAAATAGTTTTTTCTCGTTGCCAAAAGTTGCTTTTCTTTATCTTTCGTAATTTTTCCTACATTTATTATAAGATAAAAACGTCGACGTCGAAATACGTTTTAAAAACGCGGAAGAGCTCGGCAAAATAGTAATAATACCGCTTTTCCCCGAAATTAAGACCGGGTCTTGCATTAGTTTTTGCTCCGATAGACGGATTGGATCCTGGCTCGGGTATTTACAAATACTTAAAAGGAATGATAATATAAATTATAATTAAGTATTATCATTCCTTTTAAGTATTTACAAATACTTAAAAGGAATGATAATATAAATTATAATTAAGTATTATCATTCCTTTTAAGTATTTACAAATACTTAAAAGGAATGATAATATAAATTATAATTAAGTATTAATGTTAATAATAATATTTAATTTTATTTAATTATATAGTAATATTATTATTTTATAACTCGATATGACCGTGGCGGGTGGCAACGGACGTATTAAATACCGTCTAAACCGGGGCTTACTTTCCGGTTTGGTCCGGTTTTCCAGGAAACGCGGTAACAGCGAAGAAAGTTTATCTTTTTGCTAAAAATCGGCGCGTTTCTTAAACAATTGCCCAAGAAATGTTTCCTTTTCGCGGGCGAAAAAATCCCTAGATTAACCCCGGCGTTAAAATTGGATTTTATTCGCGCTCGTACGTTTGCAACCGACGGAAAGTCGCACGCTCGATCCGTCGAATTACGAATTATCCGCCTCTATATAAAACTAATCTCGAAGAACCTGGCCGTAAAATAAATAATAATACGATAATAAAAACGAACAATTTTACACTTTTTTCTGACGAAGTTTTACGGTTCGGTGTTCGGCACCGAACCGTAAAACTTCGTCAGAAAAAAGTGTAAAATTGTTCGTTTTTCGCCGACAAAGTCGGGAGAGATAAACGAGTTGGATATTGCGGAAGAGATAAGTGGAAACGACCGCGAATTTCGGGCCGTACGTATTTAGCGGAAAAAAATAACGTGGAAAATATAATTTTACAAAGTGTTTGTTCGCGATAACATTTGTAACGTTACGTAATGTTTTAGATGTATTTTGAGCGGCGCAATTTGAAATTAAAAGAGCAAACGGGAAAAAATTAGCGCCGTCCGCACAGAAAGAAATGCGGTTACCGTGCCATCTCTTTCTTTTAAAATTATATTTTTAGTTATAATATTTGGTAAATTTTAGATTTGCGCGTAAAAATATTCTATAAATAGTAATGTAAAGTTTATCTTAAACCGAACGGCGACCATGTATTTTCTTCGCAGTTCGTAAATAAAATCTAGTCACGTACTGTACAATACTACGATGCCTAAAATTATCACTAAAAAGTTATTTAACGTCTATTTTATCGAAGATCTTTACTAAAAAAGAATGATGAAAAGGATGAAAAACTGCCACTGGTAACTAGAATATATCTTTGTATCGTAATGTGTTAATCTTTAGTTCCAGATTTCGAATTTCGAAATAAAATCTCTCATCGTACTGCTATGGCCGATATCATTCATTTTTTCAATTTAGAAATAAAACGTAGTATCTTTCAATTATATTCTCTAAATTTTAACTAAAGAAAAATTTCGGTTTTTCAACGGTTTAATAGCGCTTGTAATTAGAAGGTTAAAGCGCGGATGGGTACCAATCCGTAGACTTTGTTTTCCGACGGGTCGTATAACAACGTAACGCCACTTATTCAACGGAATAAATCTCTTTTAATACGTTGTTTGTGGATCGAAAACGTAATTTAAAATAATTGAAACCACGACTTTCGCTCGTTTAAATGAATATTTCGTAATAATTGAGAATATAGTACGGATTACGTATTTTAAATGAATAATTATGTTGCTTAATAATCGTTTTATTATAAAAAAACGATAGAATAAATAAAGACGAAGTTGATATTTCTATTTGTTGGTGTTGCCTACTGTTTTCATACTTATTTCATTCGATATAAAAATAAATAAATTTAATTTATATGCATAACTTCCTTCGTTCAGGAACTTTCTTATCATCTCTCGCAAACACATTTACTTTATGTATAAAGCTTGACAGAAAGGTTTTCTTTTATCTTGACGTAATTACATTTAATAGAAATGTTTACTCTGATGTTCCTGTCTTTACTTCGTGTAATGAAAAATACACGTGAATAGAAAAGTAAGCTAATAAAGTAAATTGAGAAGCATTAGGAGATACTCGTTAGAATACGAAAAGTAAATTTTCGTATTTAAACAAGTAGGCTATCTACAAATTCTTCATTTTGAAATTAAATAGCTTTATCCTCAAGAGTATATACGAATTGTCGACGTCTTTTTATTTTGAAATTTATTTCATTAAAGCCTCCGAACGAGAAGATTCTGTTGGAATTATATGGATTAGGATTATATGAATTAGGAAATTCGTGGTTCGAACTCGAGGGAAGGAACCTGCAGCGTATTGCCGGTACGCGGCGCGAAATCTAAACCGTGGTCGAGGAAGTAAGAAACAAAACGGCCACTCCGTAATGAAAATCGGTGTTCCGCTTTGTGTTTATAGACCCGGGTACCACTATTCGCTGGCGCTTTCGTCGCGCCAACCGAGGTACGAGAAAAACGGGCTTTACTACGTCTCGCCGTTGCCCTCCACCGTTTCGTCTTTGCCACTTAATCTTACGTCGAATAAAATAATAATTGTTCTAAGAGCAGGGAGGAACCGACTTTTTCCGTCCGGTTCCGTCCCCACTCGGCACTTACTGGAAGTGTATCCGGTGGACTGGGAACTCTTCTCCGCCACTCGAGGTCTGGCCCAGTCGTCCACTACGTCTTTCTCTGAAAAGAAAAAGAAAAGGTGAGACCGGGTCTACGGACGGATCCGCCGTGTAAAGGATTTGACTCTTACTGGTGTAATGTCTGCATGAAGAAGATGCTTCGGACTTGGTGTCCAGTTGTTCCAACGTCCTGGAATTGAGAACGCAGGACTTTTGGTCCGAGTTGATCGAACACAGGTCGAAGCTGGCGCACGGGAACTCCGACTTTTCCGAACAGGAGGCGGCGCACTCTTCCAGGCTGGACACGGTCAGAGTCTCGGCGTCGGGATCCAGCAGCTTCAGTCTTCCCGACTCCACGTAATCGGCGGCGTATTTCACTGGTCCCGGGAGAAGAAAGTTAGAAACCGTCCCAGAGGAAAGCGGCGCGCCGCGGAAGTCTACTCACGGGCGTAATGAGTGCAAATCTTGCCGGTCTGGACCAGAGGGTCTTTGGTTTCCAGCACGTGCTTTTCGTGCAGTTGACAGATTTTGTCGGATCGACAGTACTCGAAGCCTCGACAGACGAATTCCTCTTCTTCTCGACACAGTTTGGCGCACTCGTTGTCCGACGCCACCCCGGTCTTCTCCTTCCTGCCGGGCAGCGAAGACACCGCCCCCTCGTAGGCCACGAACATCCGCAGGTAGGAAACTGAAAAAAAAAAGACGGAGTCAAGTGGCGAAAGACCTCGCGGACTTTGGCGGGTTCTTCCGGCCTCTCACCCGTGTAGACGTCGCAGCCTCCCACCGTGTCTATATCGTCGTCGATCCGGGCGGAGCGCGACTGCGAGACGTAGAGAGGACTCAGCAGACACCTATTGTCCGTGAAACAGAAGGAGAAGCTGAAACACTGCATGGTTTTCTCGTCCCTGCACTTCCTGTAGCAGTCGGAGGGCGTCGACAACTCTCCCCCGTCCACCACGATCTGAGAATTTTCGGGTTTCTTGAACGTCTTTCCGGACAACACCTTCTCGAACATGTCGCTGTCTCGATCACCCACTGTCCGGGAAGAAAGAGGTGGTCAACCGTCGTCCCGGGTCGGAGGAACCCCGCGGTCGGACACTTACCTTGGAAGGGCGAAATGTCTCCGACGAACTCTTCGGGGTTCAAAGTGATCTGAAACGAGAAGAGATTTGACACTTCGTCGGGAGGGGAGCCGCACGCGCTTCTCTCGGAAATTTACCTCGCCGTCGTCTCCCTCGATCACGATGACCAGTTTCTTTTTGTCCACGGCTTCCTTCAGGTTACTCATCGCCTGATCCAGAGGAACGTCCTTAGCGCTGGTTCCCGCTTCCACGCCTGCGCCGAAAAACGACAAAGGGTAGTTAGACGGGAGCGGATGCGGAGTGGACGGGAAGCGGAAACAAACTCACGTATGTAAAAGGCGCAGTCGTCCACGGCCATCTTCTTGCCCCAGTCCTCGGTCAGATCCAAATTAGCCAAGAAGCACCTTCGTCCGCACACGTGAAAGCCCCTGCGTCGAATAGAATGTTACAAGACCGTTCGTTCCTCCCGCGGAGATTTTCGTCTAGGTACAGTACCTGGCCCGAGACCGTAAATGGCGCCGGCGCCGCTATTCGAGAGGAATTGGGAATGGAAATTAGCCCCGGCGTACGAGTTTTGTATCGGCAAGTAATATTAGTCCGGGGGTGGCCAACCTAAGACACGCGTGGCTCGTAAGGAGAAATCATCTGGCAGGTAACGTATCGTACGATTTCCATTTATCGTCTGTCTTTTTCGATCGTCCATTCAGTTTATCATCCGATTACCTCTTATTCTAATCTTATAATATAATCGAGACGAGTTGATAATAATAAGAGCGGATCCCGAACGGTTAAGAGCTGGAAGTCGAAATTTGGTACACAGTTAGGATACCCGATGAGAATGTACTGTACTCCTGATTTATTTAACTCCGCTGGCTTTTGCTTTGCAAGGGAATTGATACATTTTTTTGCCGTCGTAGCCGCAGTACGTTATTACCCGACATTTCTTTTTAATACTTTATTTACATGGTTTATTTTAACACTGAACAATAAATTGAAGATTATATCCTATAACAAGTTTTGATAAATTCGTTAAAATAATAGTATATATTAACATTATTTATTAGGCTACTTTTTCCTATTGACCGAGTGTAACCTTTGTTGCAGTTCGTTTCTTATTTTCTCATATCTTGCGCATTCAAATTACATATGTGTGGGGTTTTTTCATTCCATTTGCCATCTTATTATGTATCTGTTCTTAATCTCAGTTTTAATGTATTTCTTTGATTAGCTCGCCTCTTTAGCTAATCTATCCGCTCTCCCCTATATGTGCTAAACAGAATTTTAGTATCTCTTTTCACGATTTTTCCTCTAATATCATCTATAAGTTCATTTTTATTATTGTCATCACTGAGTCCTTTGAGTACTGCCTGGCTATCTGTACAAATAGTTATTTCCAAATTTTTCTTTCTCTCGCTTATTCACTCTACTGCTTGGTTTATTGCTACCAATTCCGCTTGGAAATTATTACATTATTAATTTTCCTGTAATACTGTTCCCTAGTCCTGTTATAATATACATACGATGCTCCGACTCCTTCNTTCTCGAACATGTCGCTGTCTCGATCACCCACTGTCCGGGAAGAAAGAGGTGGTCAACCGTCGTCCCGGGTCGGAGGAACCCCGCGGTCGGACACTTACCTTGGAAGGGCGAAATGTCTCCGACGAACTCTTCGGGGTTCAAAGTGATCTGAAACGAGAAAAGATTTGACACTTCGTCGGGAGGGGAGCCGCACGCGCTTCTCCCGGAAACCTTACCTCGCCGTCGTCTCCCTCGATCACGATGACCAGTTTCTTTTTGTCCACGGCTTCCTTCAGGTTACTCATCGCCTGATTCAGAGGAACGTCCTTAGCGCTGGTTCCCGCTTCCACGCCTGCGCCGAAAAACGACAAACGTTAATTAGACGGGAGCGGATGCGGAGTGGACGGGAAGCGGAAACAAACTTACGTATGTAAAAGGCGCAGTCGTCCACGTCCATCTTCTTGCCCCAGTCAGCGGTCAGATCCAAATTAGCCAAGAAGCACCTCCGTCCGCACACGTGAAAGCCCCTGCGTCGAATAGGATGTTACGAGACCGGACGATCGGCCGTAGTTCCGACTCCCGTTCGTTCCTCCCGCGGAGATTTTCGTCTAGGTACTGTACCTGGCCCGAGACCGTAAATGGCGCCGGCGCCGCTATTCGAGAGGAATTGGGAATGGAAATTAGCCCCGGCGCACGAGTTTTTTATCGGCGAGTAATATTAGTCCGGGGGTGGCCAACCTAAGTCCAAAGTGGCTCGTAAGGAGAAATCCTCTGGCAGGTAACGTATCGTACGATTTCCATTTATCGTCTGTCTTTTATCTGATATAATCCAGACGAGTTGATAATAGTAAGAGCAGATCCCGAACGATTAAGAGCTGAAAGTCGAAATTTGGTACACAGTTAGGATACCCGATGAGAATGTACTGTACTCCTGGTTTATTTAACCCCGCTGGCTTTTGCCTTGAGGGGAATTGATACATTTTTTGCGGTCGTAGCTGCCGTACAGTACATTATTACCTGACATTTCTTTTTAATATTTTATTTACATTGTTTATTTTAACACCGAACAATAAATTGAAGATTATATCCTTTAACAAGTTTTGATAAATTCGTTAAAATAATAGTAGGGGAGATCGGGGCAACTTCGGCATGCGGGGCAAGTTTGTCAAGCGCTTTTTTTAAAAAACAAATTAAAAAAAACTTTGATTATAGGTTAGGNGCGCTTCTCTCGGAAATTTACCTCGCCGTCGTCTCCCTCGATCACGATGACCAGTTTCTTTTTGTCCACGGCTTCCTTCAGGTTACTCATCGCCTGATCCAGAGGAACGTCCTTAGCGCTGGTTCCCGCTTCCACGCCTGCGCCGAAAAACGACAAAGGGTAGTTAGACGGGAGCGGATGCGGAGTGGACGGGAAGCGGAAACAAACTCACGTATGTAAAAGGCGCAGTCGTCCACGGCCATCTTCTTGCCCCAGTCCTCGGTCAGATCCAAATTAGCCAAGAAGCACCTTCGTCCGCACACGTGAAAGCCCCTGCGTCGAATAGAATGTTACAAGACCGTTCGTTCCTCCCGCGGAGATTTTCGTCTAGGTACAGTACCTGGCCCGAGACCGTAAATGGCGCCGGCGCCGCTATTCGAGAGGAATTGGGAATGGAAATTAGCCCCGGCGTACGAGTTTTGTATCGGCAAGTAATATTAGTCCGGGGGTGGCCAACCTAAGACACGCGTGGCTCGTAAGGAGAAATCATCTGGCAGGTAACGTATCGTACGATTTCCATTTATCGTCTGTCTTTTTCGATCGTCCATTCAGTTTATCATCCGATTACCTCTTATTCTAATCTTATAATATAATCGAGACGAGTTGATAATAATAAGAGCGGATCCCGAACGGTTAAGAGCTGGAAGTCGAAATTTGGTACACAGTTAGGATACCCGATGAGAATGTACTGTACTCCTGATTTATTTAACTCCGCTGGCTTTTGCTTTGCAAGGGAATTGATACATTTTTTTGCCGTCGTAGCCGCAGTACGTTATTACCCGACATTTCTTTTTAATACTTTATTTACATGGTTTATTTTAACACTGAACAATAAATTGAAGATTATATCCTATAACAAGTTTTGATAAATTCGTTAAAATAATAGTATATATTAACATTATTTATTAGGCTACTTTTTCCTATTGACCGAGTGTAACCTTTGTTGCAGTTCGTTTCTTATTTTCTCATATCTTGCGCATTCAAATTACATATGTGTGGGGTTTTTTCATTCCATTTGCCATCTTATTATGTATCTGTTCTTAATCTCAGTTTTAATGTATTACTTTGATTAGCTCGCCTCTTTAGCTAATCTATCCGCTCTCCCCTATATGTGCTAAACAGAATTTTAGTATCTCTTTTCACGATTTTTCCTCTAATATCATCTATAAGTTCATTTTTATTATTGTCATCACTGAGTCCTTTGAGTACTGCCTGGCTATCTGTACAAATAGTTATTTCCAAATTTTTCTTTCTCTCGCTTATTCACTCTACTGCTTGGTTTATTGCTACCAATTCCGCTTGGAAATTATTACATTATTAATTTTCCTGTAATACTGTTCCCTAGTCCTGTTATAATATACATACGATGCTCCGACTCCTTCTGAACTTCTTGACCCATCTGTACAGATTCTGTTTTTGTCTACGTGGCTGTAGTCTATTCCTTTATGTCCATTTTTCCCCATTCGTATCTTCGCAATTTTTCGTGTTGTTTCATTTCTCTTTCTAGCTCGTCCTCATTTTCCAATAAATCATTATAGGTTTTATTATCTTTTAGTACGTTTCTTATATCTCTTCTTTGTTTAATTTCTAAATCCGAGGGCGTAAGGCCCGCTAATACACAGAGTGCATCGTTTGCAATTGTAATATATGCCCCGGTTATTCTCGGAAGCATTTTGCGTTGTAGACTCTGTATTTTTTTCTTTTCGTACGTATCATTTCCATTCTTTCCCCCAAACTTGGGCACCATACGTAACAACGGGGATAACAATCTTCATATATCTGTGTTAATGCCTTGCCACCGAGGCTCCATTCTTTCCTCGCAACCTTTGCTATTTCTTGGAAAAGATTTCCTACTTTTTTCTCGATTGCTTCCGAGCGAGCATTCCGTAAGAGTTTACTGTCTATCGTCACTCCTAGGTATGTAATTTGGTTATTGCATTTTATTGTTTTATTCTTCATTTTAATGATCTGTTGCCTATTTTCCACTCTGCGCGTTGTAAATGCGATGGCATTTCTCTTTTCTGGGTTGAATTTTAGTTTGTTCTGTTTTCCCATTTCTCTATTCTTTCCAATATATCATTGCACTTTATTTCTATTTGTTTGCGGTTTCTTTCCGAACACACTACCATTAGGTCGTCGGCAAATGCCGTTATTTTTGATCCCGCCAATGTATTATTTTCTAGAACATCGTTTAAAATTATTGACCAAAAATTAGGTGGTAAGCGAGACCCCTGCGGACATCCCGTAGTCATTTCTCTTTCTGTTTTTATGTCGGCATATTCGATATAAGCTCTTCTATTAGTTAAATAATCACATATTAAGCGATATAAATTGTTTGGGCAATTTGCCTCTTCCAATCTTGCAGGAACGAGTGTCCACCACGCATTATCAAATGCCCCTTCGATGTCGAGACTAAGGGCAATCGTCCAGCCATAACGTTTCTTACCTTTTTCTATATCTTTGATAACTTTGGTTATAGCATCCTGCGCTGATCGGCCCTCTCGAAAGCCGAATTGATTCCGTTAAACCATTTTTATGAGTTCGACCAGGTTGTTAAACGATAAACTATCGTTTGTCCGGTACTTTTCCCATTACAGGAAGAAGGAAATCGGTTTATAACTTCTTACCTTACTTTTATTTTTATATATAGGCAATATTTTTGCCACCTTCCACGCGGCTGGGAATACCGCAAACTTCGAACCGGTGTTATATAATTCAAATAGAAGATTTGGATCTATTTTATTTATTTGTTTCGCTATTTCCTGCGTTATTAGGTCATTTTCCGGGGTTTTCCCTTTTTTGAAATTCGAAATCACCCAGGATATTTCTTCTTTCGTAAATGCTGGGACATTTTCGCCACTCGTTTTAAATTGTACGCTTTCCCTTAACCTTTTTTGTTCACGGCAATCTTTGTTTTGATCATCTATTTTAATAAATTCTTTTAGTATTAACTTCAAACCCTCCTCCGCATCGGTAGCAACGGACCCATTTTCCTTTCCGATTTCTGTAAGCCGAAACTTATTTCTTATTTTTCCGGCCGAGATCTTATAAATCAAACCCCAGGGGACACCAGCACTTTGTTGGCAGAATTGCGTCCAACTTCTCTCTTCGCTCTCTTTTATCTTTTCCTCGTAATTCTTCCGTTCTCTCACATAATCCTCTCTAAGGGGCAATTCTTAAATTCTGATGGTCACATTTTTCGTATTTCCTTCGTTTAGCTCTTCGTTTTTTAACGAGTTACTCGGATCGTACCTCACGGGTCCGAGTAACCTCTTTCCTTCGCAAGATAACGCGTCAATACAGTTACGAGACATTATACACGAGTTAAGTAGTAGGCCCACTCGGCTAATGCTAACGTAACGAAATACGTTAGCCCATACCAGGGGTGGCCTATGGAAAAATCATCCGGCACGTAACTTATCGCACGATTTCTTTTCACCACCCGTCTTTTTCAAATATTCTTTTGGTTTATCATACGATCGTCTTTTCCGGCCAACTTTTTTACATTTATTCTAATTAAAGCGTATTCGTTAAATTTCTTTAAATATCGTTATTCGAAGTCTAAAACTTCGGCGCGCGTAAACATTTTTAAAGGTAGGTACGCTTAGTATTTGGCACGCGCACTCAAAAAGGATTGCCATTCCCGGCCTATACAATCGCAAAACAAATTATTACGTCGTCAAATGCGGTAGATCCGCAGAAAAACTCTGGCGCGATATTGTAACGCCGATTTATAAGAAAGGGCATTAATGCGGCTTAAGATTCGACGATAAACGCTAGGTCGGGTTGGAAAAAGTCTCCCGAACCTTCCCGCGTTTACGTACTCGAAAGCGGCCACGCGGGGTTTCCCTCTCCGCGTCGAATTTTCGGCCAGAATCTCTGTCTTTTCGGGAAATCCGCGGGAGGAACGAAGCCCGGGGTAAAAATTTCTCCTACGGTTACGCGTTTGGCTTCCCGAGAACGAAAGCGGCGCCCTTTATCCCCGGGAAGGAAGAAATATCCTCCACTCACGTGCATTTGTCGGCCTCCACGCAGAATTGCGCGCAGTCTTCGTCGGAGTCTACGTTCTGGACTTCCTTCTCCGATTCTCTGGGTTTGTCGTGCTCGTCGCTCTCTTCGAATCTTTCTGCAAAAAGGAGGAACGTTACGTCTTCGAAGGTCTGAACGGAGGAGGAAACAGGAAAAAAGCTTACTCAGAGCGGGAACGCGTTCCGTAAGAAGTCCCAGGACGCTGATTATTCCGGGTTCGAAATCCACCTGGAAGAAGAAGAAGAAGCGAAAGTGGGAGGGAAACGGTCGGCCCGCCACCCGACCTCCCACCCGACTTACCCGCAAGAAGGGCAGACGCAGCGAAGACACCTGCGCCTTGGTGGGTATGGAAGTCCTCAGTTCCTCCCGGACGACGGCCGCCACGTCTTCCGCCGCGGTCACCGTTTCGTCACTTCCTGCGGGTAACGATAGGAATGAAACGGTGTTTCCTCAGATAACGACGGGAATAAATTTTTCGAAACCCAACGTCTACGCCGACGGACTCGGTCTGATTCGGCTAATTAATCACTTTGGATCGACCAACTCTAGAAGGTACTGTACGCGTACCACCGGTCAACGGAAAGGAGACAATTAATAGTACGCGTCGATTCGTATAAATTCTTTCGTTTTCGACTCCATTTTCGTCACATTTCGCTCTTTTACGTCCGATATCGGCGCGATACCAGTAGCGGTTTCTAATTTTGTTTAAAAAAGATTCTTGAAGCGTACGATTAGTACTTAATTAATATTAAACAAATCTTTCGTTTACTTCGCCGGTTATTCGTTCGAGTGTGCGCTATCGCCCGCTTAAACTAACAGAATATATCGGTTTTTTTCCCCTTTCTTAAATGATCGAGCGCTTAAGTACCGCGTAATTTTCAATTCTGTTTCGATTCGTTCCGCCAGCTGTTTTGTCTACCGGCTTAAAAGGGTGCGGAAAGGGAGGACTCGGGTTTCCGGACGGCGGAACGCGCGTCGAAAAGGAACCGGGGATATAGAATTACCCGAAAAGGTGATGAGGAAGTAGCTCTTGCGCGAGGGAACTCCCTCGCAGTCGGAGACGTCGAAGGGACCGAACCGGAAAGTGGGAAATTTGTCGTAGGCGAACAAGTTGTAGATCAGCCGAACTCCCACCTGCAAAAGACGACAGAAGGATTCCGTCAGGCTGGACCGTGGAAAGCGGACGGGGGGGGGGGAAGAAGTACCTACCCCTCCATCGTCGTAATCGGCAACTTCCACCCGGACCGGACTGGCTCCTTCCACTTTTCCGTCCACCGCCACCGACCAGTAATGCTGAAAATAAAAGAAACCGGGTGGCTTTTACCAGTAACGTTCGAGATCGCCGCCACTTTCCGACAAAAGAGAACGACTGTCGAAAACGGGAGAAAAATAGCCGAAAGTTCCGAGAACGAGAACCGATCACTCCCGTGTCGAAAGAGGGCCGAGTCGTTCCCAAAAATTCACGGAGGAAGTAGTAACCGCGGCGACGATGCTAGAAGATTATTTTTTAAATGCCGACGTCGGCATTTAAAAAATATTTTCTAATATAACGGCCTTAATATTCTGGCTCGTAATATAACGGGTGGATCGGTGGTTAATCCGGCCATTTCGCGTAATACGGCGCACTTTGACCCGTGGGTACGAGATATATAGGCCTATATCTGTGTTTAAAGAGTATGGCGACCAGACTGCAAATTTGTAAGTTGGTATAATCGGTATCCGATGCCAGTTACTCTCTACCGGATACTTATACGCGGTCCAGAAGTAATACAAAACTTTTGGGGTCTGGCCGTAAAGAATTCCGGAAAACGGGCGAGAAAAGTGTCGCGAATCCGAGCAAATGAAGATTTACTACGTAATCTTTTGATAACGTCGGACTGGGTAATTACGTCTACGAGAAAAGCGCGCGAGAGTAGTTATTAATCTGCGGATAACGGGCCCCAAATGTCCAAATAACCACGAGGGAAAGCGATAGAAATAGTTGCCGTAGTACGTAATGTGTAAAATTACGTTTCTTTTACGATTTATTGTAATTATTGTAAGTATATTTGGATTACAATTAAATCGTTTCGTTCTTAGTATAATTTTGTCTGGCCAGATTGGCGAAATCGTACGTCGCTTGTTTGATATTCGGCCGCCAATGGCGCAGCGATCTAACACATTTTAAAAATTCTTTATTCCTCTACTGTACGCGTTTTAAAGAATTTTTAAAATGTCTTAGATTGGTCACTCGGTCTGATAAATTCACCCTTACGCCAGGTAACGTTTGTAGCTATATACCTAAATCAAATAGCGTAACGTAATATAATAGAAGGGTTAGAAGTACGAAATAATCTATTAATGTTAATCTTCGCTGTTATTTTCTGTCCGAACGAGGCCGGGCTCGTCCGCTAGCCACGAAATAAGCCTAAACCGGTAGCGGGTCGACCGCCGGCAAGGCGGAGTTTCCGGAGCTTTTTGCCCCAACAAAGTCCCCCCGGAAAGCGCTTTTTCCCGGGCAGAGGACCCTTCCGTCGTTATTCCATTAATTTTGGGGGAGCCGAGTTAAACGGATAAAAGGCTTTTTAATGCCAATTCGATAAAACTCCCGCTTCATTAATTAATAAGAAGAGGCGACGCGATATAATAAAAACCGCATATTAATTAGGAAAAGAATTTTGAAAAATTTTTCGGTTTCTTTTTTTCTCTTCGGAGGGTGCCGGTTCCACTCCCGGTGCGCCACTCGTCTAGACTCCGACCCCGGTGGACACTCACGTTAGTGAAGTAGTAAGTGTAGACGGTCCTGGCCGGTCCTTTCTTTTCTTCCGACGATTTCGGTATCACGGACTCCCACACGTCGCACAGCATTCCTCGAACGTAAGACTGCCGGAAAAATCTGGGTTAGAATCTGAGGCGGAAGTCCGGCTTTCGCCCGCGGATGGCAACTCCTACCCACCTGTCCCAGGTAATAGAAGTCTCCTTCTCCTCCCAGGATTTCTTTGGGCTTCTTCATGCTTCCGATCAGTCCGTCTTCGAAGCTCTCCAACGTCTGGCCGCGGACGGGAAAAGCGTCGCATTTTCGGTCGGCGGTGATATACATCATGCCTGAAAAAGACCCCAATTGGGAAATTAGGGGGAGGACCGGGGAAAGCGGCCGCCCGGGGAGTACTCACCCGTGTTAAAGTCGTAGACGGTGGACTTGGATCCGTCCGGGCCTCCGCGCACGTCCAGTCTGGCCAGTTTCCTGTCGTAGTGGTACCACAGCTGGGGAAAAGAAGAGGGTGAGCCGGGACGAGGCGGGCCCCGAGTCGGAAGAAAAAAAACTTACCCTGAATGGAACGATGGTGTCTCGATTGTTCTTTTGGTCGTCGGTCAGGTTGCGAAATTCCCCGGAGACGAAGAATTTTCCGGAGCGAGCGGGCGGATCCGGGCCCTGGTTCCGCAGTCCCGGGCATCCGTATCCCGACGGAGGCTGAGCGGAGAAAGAGGGATTACAGAAGGATATTGCGGGGACGGCGGACCAACGGAAGTCTTACCCGGAGCATGCGGCTGTCGAAGACGAAAGTCCGGAACATGATGTAGTCCAAAGTCTGCTCGAACATCCCCTCGTCGGAGTCTTCCATCGGCTTTCCTTTTCCGTACAGTCTGACTCTGATCGGAACCATTTGCCGGCTGACGTTGGTGGGCGTAGCCCAATTCTCCTCTGAAAACACGCAAATTTCGGCTTTCCGTCCGTGGCGTTCTCCGTCACTCCCGTAGAATTTGGCCAAATTCTATGGAGTGATGCCCGCGCGGAATCCCGTCCGCTGCCCGAGCTAAAACGAGAGGGAATCCGACGTCCTTTCCTTCGACCGATGCGGTGTCGGGCGCGATAACGGACCGCGGTAGAGTGGCCGATTCGTTCTTCTCTTCGTAGTAATTTAAGAGGTCGAGGCGACAGAGCCGATCGAGGTTTCGTCTCTTACCCAGAGAGATCTGCCGAAAGGGGTGTGGCCGGAGAGTTTTTTAAATGGGAAAACCACCACGGTTTCGGCCTTAACGCGCGAAAATATCTGAAGAATGGGTGCCCGGGCCTTACCGGAAGCGGTTCCGCGCCGGGCCGTACGAAAAGGCAAAGATTTCGGTCCCACCGGGCGGCGGACGGCCACGCGAAAGAAACGGAAGCCCAGGCGCGCTGGTTTAGCGGCGTTTAAATTATCGTTTCTAGAAATAGTTTGACCCCTTTCCATACCTAATCTCGCCCAGAAATTCGTACGAAAATTCCGTGGATGGCTTTCCGGGTTTTCCTCTCTCTTTACTTTAAGGAAAATTACATAAAATCGGCGCAACTTTGGCGAAACGCAACATCGTGGACGGAGGTAACCGGCCGGTAACGTTTCGGTAAAAGGTAGGTTAGATTCTTACCGGAGAAGAAGTAGTCGACCTGAATGTCGTCGTTGGCCCAGTAGTCGCCGTTGAACTTGTGACAGCGAATGCCTTCCACCGTGTCCTTCCCCACGTATTGCATCTAGTAAAAAATAAAAGACAAAGAACCAGCGGTCAACGGAAATCCGCCAAAGTCGAGCGCGCCTTTCTCTTTTTAGCCACGTCATCGAATGCGGGCTCCATCGTAATAAACACAGAGCGGCGATCCAAACTCTAAAGCGATTTAATGACTCTGGATTGGCATTGGATACGAAAACTGTGATTCGGGAAAGCGGACTAACCATAAAGATGAGATGGGTCAAAGCCCGTGCGGAATTAAGGGAAACGAGAGGAGGGCCGACTTCTTTGCCCAAGAGGCAGTACAACTGCCAATAATATCACATTGCGAGATCCCTCTGCCGTATATCAAAAAACTGCTTAGGCAAGAAGCGCTTGTCCGAGTATGTCGCCATTCCGCGAGATACTCGGACGTACGGCGAGAAGGGTAGACACACCTTCCGGTCACTCCCAAATGTGAAGAAAACAGTAAGAGAATTAAAGTGGTTTCCGCTAGACCACCCGAGGACAAATATACTCGGGGCGTTCCAACAGCAAAGAATACTTGGCAAAAATTAAGAGAAGAGAAAGCGCGGTTTGTGAATGCGCTGAACAAATTCGACGTTTAGACCATCTAACGATCGAATGCCTCGATCGTTAGTAAAAGAGACGGATGCAATTGCACATTTCGGATTCGAAAGAGACGGGATGCAATTGCACATTTTCAGCCGTGTGTGCCTGGAAACCGAACGTTCGAGCATCGAGCTAATAACCTCCAAAAGTAACATCCCCTGGCCGCGCCACCACAAGGACTTTCTTCAGAACAAAGAACTGTATACAGCCTTCGATACGCTTGTGAAAAAACACGGCGTTATCTCAACTACCACCTCCAACCGGTAACCCTTCTTCTTTGTACAGTACTTACTACCTGTAATATTTTGGATCACTCGCAGCCATTAGTTGCGAGTGATACAAAATATGTATTAAAAAAAGTACTTCTATGGTGCCTTAATAAAAGATTGATTGCGCCTGCAGGTAATACATTAAGTAGGACTGGTACCACCTAATAAGACAGAGGTATCTTAGAGTCTTTGCGCGGAAAATCCTGGTGTAAGGGTTCGGACGCCAGCTGCTTACCAACACTGTACAGGCGACGAGTAGTCGCAATCGTTCGTTCGACAAGATTCTACGTACAGTACAGTACAGTACGTTACTTTTACGACTGTACTTTTCTTATATTTGTATGTTTGATAAATGGTTTGTAAGTCTAACGTTTACTTAGAAATAAAGAGACGTTTTCCTCGCATTGCCTATGCCAGACAATCACGTAAGGGGAAATGACCGGCATCTAATGAAAAAATAAAGAATTCCGGAGCGGTAAGATGTCATCTGTCCGGCCGTTGGTAAAATACCCTGATACATCCGAAGCGCCGTCTATGAAAATTTTTCGGCCAGGCGGTCAGACGCCATGTCCTAGATCTGGCCAGATCTAGCGCTCCCGCTTTCCGTCTGGGTAGCTCTTTTCCTAATCCTCGAAGGACCTTTACGATTAAAAAAGAATTCGTGACTGGTAGCCTATTTTTCAAATATTGATATAAAAGAAACTAATAAACGATATTTATCCGTTGACCGGAATCACATTCCTGGCGGTGAAGGCCGAGTTAACCCGGAGTGCAACGGGCGCCATTTTGTGGGAGCGCCGATCCGACGTCCAACGGTAGCTTCTCGTTATAGAACTGTACTGCGCCCAGCCCTTTTTTTCATCGTTTGTTCTCCTTTTTTTTATTGTCCGCGGGCGCAGCTTCCCAGAGGATCAAAAGTGTTAAACGCTGGGCTTCTTCGACAATAAAAGCTTTACGCGACCGTTCTCGCCTAAGCTACGTAACTAAATAGGGCACGGAACTTCGGGGGCTCCGCCTCACAAATTATTTTAAACGATTTACGGATAGGGTCGAACGGATTTCTCGGATGGCGTTACCACGCGCGTCTTTCTATATTATTACTTTACGACAATTACTTCCAGCACCTACGCCTGGATCTTCCTTCCGGACTCGATTCCGCAGCCGGTTTCCCGGCCGCGGCCGCGTAAACTACGGGCCGGACCCGGGCCAAACGTTTTCTTTCCCGTTCGTCGACGTCTCAGTCGGCGGAAGCGGGAGGGGGTGGCGGAAAAGGTTACTTCGAGAACGCTTACCTGCGGATTGTCGGCGCCCGATCGGAGTAAAGAAGTGGGGCCGAAGTAGATGGTTTTTCCGCCGGGCGAATACAGCCAATTGGTGAAGTTGTAGTTGAGCAGGTAGTCGGAACTTCCCGCCTTCTCCACCCGACAGGCGTCATCTACGGAAAGAGAAAATTCGGAAGGGTCCGGGGCTTTTCTTCCCCTTTCCCGGCCGGCCGCTTCCGCCGGGAAACGGAAGCGTGGGCCGGAAAGGAGGAGATGCCGAAAGACGCTGACCTTTGAGCACGACGATTTGGTCCTGGGTGGGGTAGAAGAAGACGCTTTCCACCTTTCCTTTCCGGATGATTTCCACTCGGGTCAGGTTCTTGGCCGCGAAGTAATACTCGGTGACGTATATGCTCTCGTCCTGCAAACGGAAAAAACACTTTCGAACCTCTTCTCTTCCGGAAACCGGAAGAAAAGAGGCCGAAGGAGCTCACCTGCGGTCTGTTGTTTATTTCGATCTGAGCCACAAAACCGTTTCGCATCAAGTTGGTCACGTCCGGAAACGAAGGATCTGCGAAGCGAGGCAAATTACCAATCTGTCGACGAGAATCGCGAGAAGTGGTCGAACATTCGGTGACGTCACGGTCGATTGGAGTCGAACGTCGAATAGTTTGCCAGGCATATTTCCGCCCGGTTTCCCCGCGGACGGAGCCTAACGGCGCCACCGTCCGGGTGTCGACGGATGGCGGTGGGTGTAATAGTCGGCGTTTATTTGTTTGCTTAATTAAAATATTTCGTCGCTTTCTAAAACGAACTTATATTCTTCAACTGTATATTATTTTAAAAATGAACAGTTTAAAAATATCAATATTTTTAATGTTTAAATCAATTTTTTCGTCTTAATTTATTTAGAAATTACACCCATTTGTAATAGGGTTTTGCAAAGTAGTTTATATATATTACGCGCAGGCTTTAGGATGTTTATTTAGAGTTAATTATATTACAATAAAATATTTTCTACGGTTTAGTTTTTTGTCTATTTGCAAACGCTTATCGCCCGTCACTCTCTGTTTAATTAATGAGAGAAAAGTCATAACATAGCAGGTACGTCGGAAGATGTCCCCAGAAGCCAGATTCTAGACACTTTTCGTTTACGAAAAGAAAAACTTGGCTAACTTTATCCAAAGT